GCAGGCGATGAGGCACCGCTCGTGCAGCACGAGCGCGCGGCGGAAGGAGCCGTGCTGCTTCTCCCACTCCAGGTGCGCCTTCCAGTTCAGTACTAGACTCACCCGCATCCAGAACTCCTCGTAGAGCGCGCAGGCGATGAGGCACCGCTCGTGCAGCACGAGCGCGCGGCGGAAGGAGCCGTGCTGCTTCTCCCACTCCAGNCGCGGCGGAAGGAGCCGTGCTGCTTCTCCCACTCCAGGTACGCTTTCCAGTTCTTCAGTTGGCAGCGCTCCAGCGGCTTCACGTGGAAATACGGACGCTTGATCTGGGAGCAAAAAATAATATACCATCATACTAACTACAAAACCATTAAATAATAAATTAAATCAGATCATCCATGCTTTCAGTTCAAAGCATTATTATGGCCATTGATTGACGTCAGATTACGGTAACTTGCATAGTGCAATCATTCACTCATTCTCATCCCATTGATCTATGGGTTATATTGTAGCCTTTCAAATACTATACCGGATGTTAGGTAAATGGGTATATGAGCCGACACTAGCCCATGTTAACATGGTCATATAAATGGTATGGTGAAGTCAGAAAATTGATATCTTCATTTTAATTATTTTAATTTTCATACAAATCGGATTTTATAAAAAATATTTTGTATGAAAATTTAAAAAAATAAAATGATATCAAATATCTGACTTCACCATACCATTTATATGCCCATGTTAACATGGGCTAGTGTCGGCTCATATACCCATTTACCTAGCACCCTGTATATACCCGCGAATCGAGACAATAAAAACCAATTGTTACCGCGGTCTCATGCGACTGCTTAGGGTTTGATGGTTAAAGTATATTCGTCGATGCCGTATTTATTGCTCACAATTTTAACTTAGCCGTTTTACATGCAATCGCACTGCTTAAACAATCGCTAGTTTAAAAAAACGGGAATATACTCACGCCCTCCTCAAACGCCCAGCGAGCGGCGACCTCTTCGCCGGTCGTCTTGTGCACCTTCCGCCGCGCTGCTATGATGCGCTCCTTGATTGCTTGAGCTTCTTCTTCTGAAGCCTGTAGTGAGAAATTAACGTTATTGACACCATGTGCTAGAATGACATAGGCAAGTGTCAAGTTGACACCACCAGGCGATTGACATAATGTGACTAAAAGCTGTCAAAATATGACTAACGAAAAAGATAAAATTTATGACGTCACTTTTTTCCGACTCAATCGGCCTATTTACTGATTTGAGGATAGGTTGTCTTTTTAGAAAGGCTATGCCTAAAAACTCATCAATAACCTAATTTAAGAATCCATTATTAACGCGGAGCTCCATCCCGCTTCGTGCACATCTTTCCCCGTTCTGCTAAACCATGTTCCTTAGGCTGAGCGGAGACGTGACGTGTAAATAACGAATTTTAGTTCGTGCTTGCTCTCGTCTCCTCACTGCTTCGATGGAAACGCTTTTAGGCAGCTTAATGCCCGTTTTCATCATCAATCCCTAATTTTTAAGTGACCCCTATGGTAATACATAACAGGCATTTTGTTCTCATAGGGGTCACTTAAAAATTAGGGATTGATGGTGAAAACGGGCATAAGTGAGCTTTCTCTCCCCTAAAACAGAGATTTGAACTCCTCTCCGCTCCGGTCCGGTGGACTACTAACCACGTGGTCGACGGGCTCGTCCTCGCCGGGCGGCAAGTCGAGCCGCGGCTGCGTCACCACGCCCGTCACCGGCTCCGCATCGCGTGCTCCGGGAGGTGTAGTGTAGTGCGGTACTGACCACGTGGTCGACGGGCTCGTCCTCGCCGGGCGGCAGGTCGAGCTGCGGCTGCGTCACCACGCCCGTCACCGGCTCCGCATCGCGTGCTCCGGGAGGTGTAGTGTAGTGCGGTACTGACCACGTGGTCGACGGGCTCGTCCTCGCCGGGCGGCAGGTCGAGCTGCGGCTGCGTCACCACGCCCGTCACCGGCTCCGCATCGCGTGCTCCGGGAGGTGTAGTGTAGTGCGGTACTGACCACGTGGTCGACGGGCTCGTCCTCGCCGGGCGGCAGGTCGAGCTGCGGCTGCGCGCCGGCCGCGTCGCGCACCTCGCCGCGGAGCCGCACCAGCTCCGCCTGCGTCACCACGCCCGTCACCGGCTCCGACATCACGTGCTCTTGGAAACTGCAACACAATTACACAACACTCGATGAAGCACTGGCGTCTGATCAGAGGTGGAATTGTTTAAAGCAATCGTTATCATTTGACAGTTCATTCTTCTTCTTCTTCCTCGGTCCCTCACTGATGAGGATCGCGACCACAGATAGTGTTCCTCCACAGACTGCGGTCATAAGCTGTGTGGACCGCACGATGCAAACTCCCGCCCACATAACGTATAGTTCATAACGTACGATTATTCTGTCAAACGCTTTGTTTAACTGACTTTATCGTACGTTATGAACTGTCAAATGATTACGATTGCTTTACACAATTCCACCTCTGATCTTTCAGGTATAACTTTGGAAAGCGGCTCCGACATCACGTGCTCTTAGAAACTGCAAACACGCCACCACTCAGTAATGAAGTAGTACAATGTGCTTACCACGAGTTTAAAAATTCTATTATGATTTTAGTTCTTAACCGCTAGGGGCGCTGTAAAGTTGTCATACATTTAATGACATTTTTGTACGCAATCAACTGCAAACACAACCACTCAATGAAGTACAACCCGATCGAGTTCAGTGCGCACTTGGCGGGCGTGACGTCGCGCTCGCACACTCGCTGCAGCCGCCCGTCGCATAGTAGGTAAGTATTCGAGAGCGACAGCAATATAATTACGCGCGAGCGATAAGGATGGGTAGCTTGAGGTCATTGTACGAAATTCTATCTGCTCGGCGACCGGACTTTAGTTTTCATACAATTTCTAGAAGCGCAGTTGTATCATCACTACTACCACGATAGTGACGTTGCTCACGTCCCTAATTTGAAGGCGCCCCTAGTGTTGCTACACACATAAGCGGACCAAATTATCAGTGCACTACAATCATAAAGTCCAAACTTAACACAATAAAGCAATCATAGATACTGTAAAAACAATAGGTAACATACTTGTCAAAGTGTGAGGTGTAGCCGAGGGTGGGCGTGGCCAACAGCCTGTCGTAGATACTTGTGACGTTGAGAGCCGAGCCGTTTTCAGCCTCCCACTTGATGTAAGATTCCCAAAGGCGATCTGAACGGAACTCCAAACCACAAGCCTCTGCACAAAATAAAAAGTTACAGTTAGACAGTTAGTATAAATTCACTATCTTTAAAAACCATTGATATCTCTACACAACATACCAATTGCCCTCTCGTATTGCGATCTGATAAAGGCGTGGTCCTCAGCTCTCGTTGATTTAATGTGATTCAGGTAGTGTATCCATAAGTCCACAGACAGAGGTATCCCTTTCAATCCTCTTTCCAATACCTGAAATGCATGATAAGCTTTAAACGAGCACCTGAAAAAACAAGCATTGCCGTCGGTGCGACAACACTATGAAGCAAGGGAATATTAAATAGCATTCATGTTTCATATAATTTTGAATAGAAAAAGCGAGACGTTGAGTAGCGAGCTCACGGATACGCAACGCCTCGCCGATCTATGTATATGTATAAAATGTTTGTCTTGGCATATTACACCTGTTCGCACTCGGCGCGCCGCCGCCGCCGCCGCCGCCGCCGGCCGGTCCTAACGCCATTCAATGGCTAAATACGAGGACCGCTGCGCTCCATGCTAACATGGATTAGTTTACATAATACATCTTAAGTATGTCCACTCAATGCACGTACTTAAATAATATACATGGTACAAATATTACAATATATCATGCGTGTACAAAGAATCATAAATAAATGCATTTGATCTATCAAATATACAGCACAAACAATGAACCACTAAAAACGATTCTATGCGATGGTAATATAACGCTCCGGTGCCAACGGGCGGCTTTGCCTTACGAACATCGTGGGCCTCGACGCACTGTTGGGAAAAAAAATAATTGCAAAATACCAGTTATGACTAAAACAATTAAAAATCCAAGTGTTAAGAAGGCACATTGAAATATGTCATCAGTCAGGTGTATTAAGCATTACCAACTCACCAAGTGACTTAAATAATAATATATTTGTGACTAGAGGTATGAACTCACCTCAAGGCACTTCTTTTTACTTCCTTTACGTTTTTCATAGTCGGCATACTTTCGCCAGTAGCCGTAACAGTACGGGTAGTGCGACAGAAACGCGTCGTAGGCTTCGCGCGCTGCCTCCACGTCGCTCTGCAAGCAACAGTATACGCTCCTTAGCTCAAGCTTACACATCTTACTGTCATATTTATTTGTATAGTGTCACTCAGTTGGCCCTTGCCAATCTACATAGAGATTCAGTTCTCATCGCTTCACAAAGCAATAAGATTAGCAAAAGTTATTCATCATAGTATTAACTTATCATTCATACAAGTACATAATTATCAAAGTTATTCATGTAAGTACCTCCTGATCTACATATTGCAGTAAATATGTCCAGCCAGTGAAATCAGTGGGGTCATCATTGACGACCTTCCAATACTTGTCAAGTTCTGGAAGGGTCTTTTTCTTGGGTTTCTCATCAATGGATGAACGTTTTTCAGCAGGGACAGGTTTGCTTTCACCATTCTGCAAAGTAAATAAAATTGTCAATCTTTGTTCAATTATTGCGTTTCAAAAATGCATTAAATGAGGGTTTTCGCGAATGAAAGATCCGCTAGATGGCGGGCCGTGGATGTGGGGTCTAACTGCTGCGTGATTGGTGGATTATCTGTCAATGTCATGTCAAAAATAACCAATCATACAGCATTTGGACCTCGCGTCTACGTATTGCCATCTGGCGGATTTTACATTCGCGCAAACCCTCATTCAAACTATGTGTTACCTTAGCCACAGCTTGCTTTTTATTAGAAGATTCACTCTCTGAAGTGGGTGATCCAGGGTCATATCCATCTCTTTCTTCATCGGGCTTTCTCTTACGCGACTCTTTTTTAGATGCAGGGAGCTCATCTTCTGAAACCACCTTTAACACAAACACATTTATAATTAACAGAAATTTCGTTGCTGTCAGTTCAAAAGGATGTATGTCAAATCCAAACTTAAAAATTATACAGTTTTTTGTATCTTCTGAAAACCTACTGGTTTATGGAACTGACAGTGACAATTTGGTGTAAATATTTTAGAGCATTTACTTATGTTTGAAACAAACCTCTGTATCGGCAGGTAAGTCAGCTGGTTTCGGACCTGGAAGCTCATCGTCAGAGACATTCTCTGCATCCTTGACACTTGGTTTTTGTACAGTTGGCAGCTCATCCTCAGAAACTACTTCGGTTTCCTCAGCCCCTCCTCCCTGTTTTATTCAGTAATTATGGTTAAATTAAGTTTGTAAGAGATAGTTGTACATAATTAATAGTTAATTTTAATTGTCATTTTGAGAAATATAAACAGACAAAACATTTGGTTAATCTTAAAATAACAATTTTATTCTTAGTAACTCCTACCTCTGTTTTTATTTCTTTTTTGATATCCACCTTCAATTCATCTTTTAGCTTTTGGTCCACAGAACCATCTTTAAGTTCCTTTAATTCTTCTTTTGGCTTTTGGTCCATGTAGTCATCATCTTCATCTTTAATTTCCTATGTAATAAACCAAGAAAATATCAATATGTTGTTAAAATTCTAGGTAAAATATAACTTTCTTCTATTAGGAGTTTTTAGTGACTTTGATCACGCAAATGATATCACCAGGTGAGCAAAGTGGAATAATCCATCTGTTATTGGTCATTATAGTTAAGCGTTGCTTTTGGTTTAATTTAAATTTTACCTTCTTTATCTGTATAGATAACTTTTCTTTGAGGGGACTCTCAGGATTCTCTGTATCCGGCTCTGATTTTACCACCACTTGGTCAGCTTGCTGATTCTGTTAATATTATTTTTATGTAATACATACAAGTATTTAAAAATAAAATTATTTAAAACTTACAAATACCTTTGTGTCCATTTTAAGAGTATCATACAAAAGTTGGTTAAAAATTTATTAAAAGAGAACATTTAGTCAATTGTGCATGAAAAATATAAAATAATATGTAATATTACTAGAGTAGAAACAATTTTGACAAGAATATTATGTATTAAATTTAAAAAACTGCTTTAAAAGATCTAGACTAAATAAGTATTAAGTTTAATCTAACCTTTTCCAATTTATTTGATTCAGGTATTTCCAGTTGAGCTGTTTCTGAAGCTTCATCCTAAAACAATGTTATTTTTTATTAATATTTTAGCATAAAACTATCAATTCATTTATAGCACATTTTCACAACACTAAGCATATATTGGGCCATAGCACATGCAGCACACATTCTAAGTTATTGGTGAAACATGAAGCCACCACATGACTATAGCAGACACTGCGCATGTTTATTGTAAGGGCAGATTGAATTATTTTACTCTGTAATTAATTATGATATTAAGATGCATCTATTTAAAATATTCTCTGAAGTTACTGCAAGCTCATACAGGTGTTAGAAGAATTAATGAAGTTACTGACCAGTGTATCATTTTGTACGGCCTCAGTATCCTGTTCAAGTGTACTATCATTAGTGGCCTCAAGATTTTCCGCAAATTTATCATCACCGGTAGCACTCTCGTCATCCATCTTAGCTGGAATTTCTTCCACTCTCTCCGAGTTTACGTCATTGGACATTTCACTAATGCTCTCCTGCTCAAAATCAGTGTCCATCTTGGTCTTCTGACTGTCTGTAACATCACCATCAGTGTCAAAAGCGGTCGCTTTAAACTGAGGATCGATAGGCATCGAGTCACCGTCGGAGAGCACGTTACTCAAGGAATCACTCGGAAAAGTGACCGCGTTGTCCCCGACATCAAAAGAGTCAGTATTAAAGCCATCCGCATTGTTATCCAAGTAGTCCCCCACGCTACCCGCAGACAACTCGACCGCATTCAGAAAACCTTGGTTCGACGTTGACGACTCGTCCGCTACAACGGCATCCACGCTATTGAACTCTCCCTCTGTCAGAAGGTGCGAAAGCCCATTCGAATTTTCATTTATGAGCGGTCCTTCATCCGTTTCCATTTGCCCGTCTTCTGATAAACACTTCTGCAATACGAAAAATGACAAACAACATAAATCCAAAAATCTCCATACTGTACTTACTTAACCTCATTTTGTCTTTTACCTACCTGTAAATCCGAACTAACTTCATCATCCATATTAAGTTATTTCCCTTGGGAAGATATAATCGCGAATCTCGGAGATATTGATGTTAGAAATTAATATTTATTGATCAAATTATTTTGTATGCAATGCATCAGACGCCACGAAAAACCGAATAAAAAAATCACAGACAGATTTTTTTTTTTTTTTTAATATAGTTTTTCACGGCTCTGGGTGCATGCCCTTATAAGCCAGTCTTTGAAGTCCGTTGAACTTTTGTTTGAATTTGACACATGACAACTGTGTTTGACACTTCACTTCACTGATTCACTGTGATTCACTGATATTTTCTTAGTTCTTACTCTTCTCAATTTCTCAAATAGTTCCCAGAGTTGAAACCACGAAAGTATATAAGGGTTTGAAAAGTTTCGGATCCTTGAGGAGTTCGTCCAACGACTGTGGTACACGTTCACAAATAGATTGAAGGTCATCGATCATGACCAGTCTCTGGATTCCAAAACTTCTACATTTCAGGATTATGTGTTCCATATCGGCAAGCTCTTCATTGCAATATGTACATTCAGCGCTCGGAATCAAGTTAAGCCTCTTCAGGTGAGTGGGAGCGTGGCAATGGCCAAATCTCAGCCTATTTATTATGGTTATGAACTTCCTGTTATCTATATTCTCATTCCTCCGATGGTACCAAGGTTTGGCGGGCGGGCTTCCTTGGATCTTAGCATACCATTTTCCCTTTTCCATACTAGTAATAGTCCAGTACTCATGCCATATCTTTTTCAGGTCTTGACTGATTGCGGCTTGATAGTCAGTGTGAGGTAACTTCAACAACGTAGAATGGTCAACATCAAAGCCATTCCTTGCAGCCAGATCAACAATTTCATTCCCCCTGATGCCACGGTGCGATGGTACCCAAAGGAAGAGCAGTGTCTTACCAGTAAGTCTATATATGTTATTAATTAATTTCTTAATATCATAAATTATATAATTCAAATTATATTTACAAGAGTTATTTTCCAGAGCTAGTAATACGCTTTTAGAGTCAGTTAGAATAATAATATTGTCAGATGGTGGATTACATGTACAGATATGTTTAAGTGCTAAGAGGATAGCATAACTTTCTGCAGTAAAGATACTACAGTGGCTTTCAATTTTATGACTTTGAGTAAGTTTAAGTTGTGGATCATAAAATGCAGAGGTTACGAGAGTTTCTTAAAAAGTTCCTCATTGCTGATACTAGTGGGTACAAAGCGAAGCACGCCGACTGTTTCTACTGCTGTGGCTGGGATGTATGCCTTGAGTTGGTGTTTGGTTAGGAAGGGATCGTTTTTCAGGAAGTTATTGGCATTACTGGACTGGGAAAATGTGACACATATTTTATTGGCGTTAATTCTTTTAAGATTGGTAATGCCCTTGATTTCATTTTTGAAAAGGTTGGTAGTCAGGATGGGATTGTTGTTCCCGATCTTCTCATTATCTTTCGTGCTTTCCACAAATACAGAAAACTCGCCACTCACCGTGTTCTCCGCGAATAGCCTTCTATACCCTGGTTTTACGTACGGTTTGTAGAAATCTTCATCTGCACTCGTATAGGTGTGATCTCTGTTTGGTGCCTTCCTTTTTTCCTTGCCCCTGGGCGGGTCCTTACCGTCCCCGTCCGGCATAGTCGAGTTTTAAGTTGACTTAACGACTTCCAATAGATAGATAACTATTTATAACACAAAAAGAGAAAAATACAAAATTGGCTTCGAAAATCGCGCCTAGTGCGTTCAAAAGCCCGCCAAAAAGTCCTCACAGACAGAGACAGGACAGACAGTGTCAGTCACTGTCACAGACTAAAAAAAACTATAAGTAGCCATAGACAAATATAAACAAACCACAGTCTTCCGATTACTTGACTGGTGTGAACAAGGCTTTAGAGTTTAGCTCGATAGGGTGTTGTAAGATCTATGAAACGCGTCGGTCATTTTCCCATATTTTCCAACATTTTCCCAGGATTTCGACATCCCTATATCTGTCAATGTCAAAAATTATTTAAAAAAAAATTCTAACCTCAAATTGTTACCCAATAATGCCAATTTGTATCTTTTCTTTATAATTTATTTTCCTAACATACGGCAAACAATATAAAACTAATAAAAATGTTAGGACTAAGTGGTTTTTTATCTAAAACAATCTCACCGGGACAAAGTTGGCTGAAACAACAAACAAGGGTAAGATCAGATAATCTTACAACTGCATCGGTGAATGTAGTGATTATTTACTTTATCGTATCCCATAGCATTTACATTACACGGATGCTTAACCGTAGTACCTATTATCCTTTAAGTCACAAGACACTTAGTGGTCCCAGCCCAGCCATTATTAAAATATTCTGCAAAATTGGTTTATAAAAGTTTATAAACATATGTCTTCATTTTTTGGTTATTTTACAGAACACATTTATTTTGAAACGGCGATTTCCTCCACCACCTCACAAGCAAGGAGGCAAGGTTCCTAAAATGAGAGCTAGACACTTCATATATGATTTGGTTCAAGATACAAACACACTGAAAAAGCCCGATATGACAGTAATATTGAAAGATTTTGTTGATGGTAAGAATATTCGTTGACTTTTAAAAATAAGTAATAATGTACTCATGATGCCACATAGTACTAGTACATTGAAAGTTAATTTTAATGTCACCTACTTGAAAATTAACTTTCAAAGTTATTTCCCTTATTGCAGAATGCCTGTTACTTATTTAGTTTTTTTTAATTCTAGGTGTTGGCAAAGCTGGTGATTTGATAACTTTGCGTTCGGCAATAGCATACCGTGATTATCTGTTACCCGGACTTGCAGTTTATGCAAGTCCTGATAATATTGAAAAGTACAAAAGTGAGACCAACAAACCAAAGCAGGAAAACCAGTACAGTTCACCCTACGTACATAGAGTAAGTTTTCTTCTTCTTTTATTAGTCAATAACTTCAAAAAATTTTGTGAGAAAACCTAACTTTCAAAGACAACTCGACAACCTGATTTCGAAGTCTAAAATTATTTAAAACTTAACTTTTCAAAACCTAACTTTCGAAAATGCTAACTTCAAAAACTTAATTTCGAAAACCTAATATAAAAAAACTAAAAAACCTAGTATAAAACACGACTTTCGTAAACTTACGAAAACTGAATTATTAGGTACTATCGAGGACTCTTCCGCCTGACCACTTTGTAGAAATTTTAGCGTAAGCGCATCGCTCTGGTCACGTGGTCACCCCGTCTCTAATTGGTTACGCATTTTACTATATTTTTACTACGACCAATAAGAGACAATCAGGGCTTAGGTTGCAATACGAAATACCATTGTGCACTTTATTGTCATACGGTTAAGGTTTAAAACGAAATGTTTCTTTTTCTTCAATCTTTCTTAGTTTTAGGCTGAGTTGCACCACCTAACTTTGACCGTAACTATAAGTAGCCAGATCTTACAATAATTGTTTTTAAGCCACAAATATTCCTTAACTATTTCCTAATTAATTCAATAACATATAGTTTATAAATTATAAGTTCCGAATAAATTAAATACCTATTAAACAAGTAAAATTCGAAAGTGACTGTATGATTTTGTACGCATTTCTCGCCTCAACTAGCTAAACTAATATCATGAGATTTACAATCTTAATATCAACAATAATTATAGAAAGGGCTACTTTTTTCTCAGGAAATTGCACAGTTACCTCGGAATGTGCGATAGCAATTTTGTGACCCGAGCGGGCAATCGCTAGTTCAATTTTTACACGAAGCCCCATATAACATTTTGTAGCGATTCTTTATTGGGTTTCAAATTTACTAAAATGCGACGTTGCCAAACGAGCGCTACGGATGCGGGTAAGCTAAGCAATACTCAATCCTAAACGCTTTACATAAAGCTTGGTTTGCTAGGGCAAACATCTACAGTGGTGCGCCGACGCTGCTTAGACCCGTAACATGAATGAATGGGGGCGTAGCTTAATCGAGCGTGTGTGTGCAAACAATTTAGGCCCTTAAAGTGTCAAGGCGTCCGAGTCCCCGATAGTACATCCTAACTTTCGAAAAACCTAATTTTAAAAATCTTTCAATAATGTATTAACTTACTAAAACAACATGAAAAACTTATTTCTGAAAACCTAAAATTATAAAATTTCGGAAACCGAAATCAAATTTGAAGACCAGGTATGCAAAAAGTTAATTAGCCTACTTTCAAAAATGTTAGGTAGGTACACACAAAAAATTAACTTTTCCAATAATAAAAATATCAAAAAACCTAACTTGAAAAACTTAAAACCTAACCCTAGAAGTTATGAAAATCTTAGGTACTTTAAAATAATGTAACTTACGAAAACCTAACTTGAAAAATTTAATTACGATAACTGTACCTTCGAAACGTAATATTACGAAAACCCAATATGAAAAAAAAAAAATTCGAAACCTAACTTTCGAAGGCCTAACATTCTAATGGTTGTGGAATTGCGGTTTTATTTCAAAACTCACAGGAGCGGGTATTTGCGCGGTTATTGAACTCTTGGCGCAATTTTAAATCGCGCCGTGCGCTAAGTCACTGGTACAAAATGGTCGCCCGCATACAACCGCGCCCGCTGCGGGCGAAAACCGCGTCGTGAGATGTGCATTAGTTTTTACATAAGTATCTGAATTCTACAGTAGCTGCGGGCCCGCAACCGCCGTGGGCGCGGGTGAAAATCGGCTTAATCCACTATTCCCCGTTGACAATCCCCGTCAACAGGGATAAGTGAACTTTTTGTTCACTATTCCCCGTTAACGCCAAATTGGAGATTGTCAACGGGGAATAGTGGAATAAGCCTGAAAATCGCGCTATAAATTCTTAGCCTTAAACTGACATTCGAAAACATCGAAAACCTAAATTTCTAAATTTCTATACCGAAAATCTTTCTTTCAAAAATCTTACTAACTATAATCTAACTTTTGAATAAGTTACTAATCTAACTTCCGAAAAACTATTGCACACACATAAGAATGATACGTACAAAAAAAGGCGAGCTTAATGCCATATGGCATTCTAAATTTTAAATAAACAACTTGAAAAAATCGAACTGCCTAAGGCGGGACTCGAACCCACGACCACACCACGACCTTCCTGAATTTAATTTGAGAAGCGACTCAATTCGCTAATAAATTTTAATAACGATATGGCATGGCATTCTCTCCCAGCTGACTTTGAGCACAACAGATAATTTTTGAGTACACGGTGCTAAAAAGCTAATCTAACATAATATGACAGAGTTTCAAAACCTAACTCGAAATAATTTCGAAAAACTAACTTTGCTCTACTTTCGCAAAAATTGCTTTGTAATATGAAAGAACTGCCACCACAAGGCTTGTTGTCACACAATGTCTCACATCATCAAAATGTATGGATAAGGATCTCCTTATTTCTACGTTCCTATTACTCAATTTCGATTACCTACGTGACTAGATCTTAATTGTATCTTCCTCAGACTATTGGATGTTTGTCACGGCTCGTGTTGGAAATTACGATGAATAAACTAGTGCCATGGACTTTGGAACCCTGGCATATTAGGACATCTTTCCGGAAAGCTGGTTTCGTGGTTCCTGAAGATGCCATCGAAATGCCGCCCGTAACAATAAAAGGGCCAGATCTTTCTCTGCAGGATAAAGAATTTTACGTTACAGTTACAGTAAGTTTCTTCATAAATGATAAACATAAAATCAAGCTTTGAAACCAAAGGTACAAAGGTCTTATGGTACTTGTTACTGTTACAGATCAATAAAACCGAGAAAGTGAATGTTCGGTGTCGTATTCATCATTGGGCAACTGGCTTGGATAGGCTGCCTTGGACAGAGTACCATTGGAAAATTCCCAGAGAACCCCTTATTCCAGAACAAGCATCTGTATTAGAAAAAATGCCTTTACAGGAGTGATCATGTTGTTATCTATTTAAGAATTGTATATTTGTAGCATTCGTAATTCAGTTAAATAAAACACTGTGAAGTGACAACATCATTTAAAGTTTTATTTCATAAACCTTTCCTACATCAAACTACCGAAAAATTCTATGTAGTCATAAACGTTATTGTTTAGAAAGTTAATAACATTAGGCTATCGAGGCAAATGCAATAAACTACGATATACATAGCACAGGCAATAATAAATAATATTAAATTTACTGTATTACTTGTTGATCGCCAACTTGCTGAAAGTCTCCAGATTTTTCTACGTTAGTAATTTCAATATTTTCGTCTTGTTTCTCGGTGAATCCTTGCTCATTATCTAATTGTTGCTCGACGTATTGTGGCGTAAGATTGTCTTGATTTTCATAATGGACTTTCTCGAAATCTTGTTGTGTTTGATCTTGACCTTCATAGTGTTGCATTTGTTCAGCATATTCCGTTTGTTCGAGCCCTTGCGCGTACCCCTGCTGCTGATAAGCTTCTTGGTCATAAGCCACACCATACTGCTGCTCGTAGTTTTGGTCGTAACGTTGTGAAGTTACTTCGTTATCATTTGCTTCCGGATAAGGTTGTTCTGTTTGAGCTCCTTCATAATACGCATATTCATTTTGTTCATAGTTTTCGTTCGGTGTTATCTGTTCTGTATTATAATTATCCGCAACGCCCTCCTCAGTATAATCGTAATTTTGGTCACCATGTTCATTGTAAAAATCTTGATTCTGTTCGGTTCCGAACGTTTTTGTGCCGTCGATAGCGTTTTCAGTTTCTACTACAGGATCATAATGATAAGTCAGGTCATCTTGGCCAACCAACACTTGTGGCTGGGGATTAATATTAATACCGTCTTGCAGTTGCACATCATCATGAGGTGTAAAATCTTGGACATTAATTGTTTCAATTGGATATTCAGTATCTGCGGCCATATTGGGGTTGCTTTCAGGGACGACATTATTTATTTCGTCAACGAAATCGCTAGCATTCATATCCTGCACTGGGGCTACCTCTTCTCTGTCTAAATAAATTTCTTGATTGGTATAGACTTGTTGATGGTTTTCATTATCTCTTTTAGGTTGCTCATTAGAGTCAGCATCAGGTGGTACGGACGGAATAGATGGAATATTAGTTTGATCTGAGTCAGCTTCTGGATATATTTTCGCAGAATTTTCGCCGCTCATTTTCATAACAGCATCTTCTTCTGTGCTATTAATTCTACTTTCATCCAACTTTTGAGTGTATTCATAGTTATTTATATTTTTTTCTGAAATATCTGTAATATTATTTATAGACATTTGTTCGTAAACATTATCTTCATAGTTATTTTCGTAATTCACAAAATTGTCATTTACTGTATCATGAGGATTGGTTGTCTCGATGTTATTTTTGGGATTATCTAAGTTGTCATTGGAAACTTCCAGTGTTTCGATGTTATTATCATAGTATCTTTGTTCGTCTATTACGTTATCCTTGGGATAAGTTTGTAAATTATAAGATAATTTATTTTCAGAAATGATATTGTCTGGAATTTTATTAATGTATTCGGTGACTGGATGTTCTTTATCTTTAGTGATCGTTTCTTCATAAGTGTTATTTGCAGTTTGCAATATTTCGTGATGCGTAGGACTGTCTTGTTCTTTTTCCTCTTTCTTTATCTGTTCCAAAATCTGGTATTTGCTTTTCCAGTCCGTGTTATCTTCTATTTTAGACGGTGTTTCTGTAGCGAAGTCATCATGAGCTGGTCTTACTTTAGGGATAAGAATGTATTTTTTACTAATTTCTTGCAGGATCGTTTCGTCAATGTGTTGTTTTGGCACCTCTAGAGGCCGCTGAAGGAGGCGCTGGTCGTTGTAAGGGTCGCTTGGGAGACTTTCTACAGCTTGCTTTGGTGGATTATAGAAAGAAACTGCGCGAGTTTCCGAGAATGCAGTGGGCTGGAAAAAATATGCACGTTGAATTAGTATGACTACATAAGTAAAACTAGTAATTTAGACATACCTATTTCTGTACCTATCTCAGAGTCGATAATGATTACCTTTTGACGAACGGGCACCACAGCATTGCAATAGCGCATTTTATCCAACTTCTCCAAAATGTATTCATTTCTTTCTTTTCTTTTCTTGTCCTCTTCCAAGAAGGCATCATATTGTTTTCTCAGTGAATTTATCCGATCTGATTTAATTCTGTAAACATAAATAAGGCAAATTGGTTAACTTTTACTATTTAAACAACCACAGGGTGCGCGTGTTGTTGAGTACCTATCTTAAATCGAAGATAGATAGATACCAACAATTTTATGTGTCAACTCACTTTTTGTCAGATTTCCCCATATGTTTTGAAAATCTCAACGTACTCCCGTTTAAAAATAGACTGAGGTGCGCATGGTACCGATGTAAACAAAGCAATGCCGTACCGACCTTCGAGAAGGTTTCGCTGCTTGCCTGGGGTGTACCTATATGTAGGTGGGTATATCAACATAATTTTGCATGCTACTGGGAATTGCGCTTTGTACACAGTTGGAGACCAAAACAATGCTCTATTTTTAATCATAAATTATCGTGCTCGCATTTTCAGTCTGACGCGTCTGGGTGTGTTGGTAACTAAACGCTCGCTCTCAATAAAAATATTGCTGATAAATCAATGGGCATGGGCATTGGGCATATCTAGGGTTATTATTCAGGGGGGGCCCGGGATGTGCCCGGGATCATCGCCCTGAAGCATCGCGAGGGCGTTCGCTTAGGGTCTTGAGGATAATGCCTTCGGTAAACTACACTGATTGTTGTCTGCTGCTTTACACATCCGAGATTTCTTAGAACTTAAATCTTATAAATTAAATAAAAGACTTGGAATAACTAGACCATTTATGTATGAAGCGTTGCTAAGTTGCTGTTTCCGTGAATTTTGGTAGAATAAAATGAACTGATACTGATAGGTACGCCAAATATGTAAGTTGCCTGGCAGTGGCTGGTACCTGCTGTAACGTCAGCTAGGTTAAATAACAGCGTCAGTCTTATGACCTTCGACCTTGCTTATTGAGTTGGGTCACGACAACAGTTTCCTTCAAGCTTATTGCCAATGCATTTCAGTTATATTTATCAAGAAAATTTGAAATCCGTTGTTATTGCCCCACCCTGTGCATTGAAAATTTGTTTTCTTTGAAATTAATTACAATCATTTTTAAGCTGAGTATAGGTAACTTATAATAAGGTATTAGCGAGTTTTTAATTTAAGGATCTTGAAGAGATCCGTAAAATCTTCAAACTTTTAAGAAGCGAAATGCGTCAGAGACATGTATAGGTTGGCGATGCGATAAAACAATACCATCCCTTGCTAAAGGGTCTAGCTGCCATCACTGCCATGTGGTTTGGCAAGCTTTATAAATTAGGTTGTTAGTTTACGTAGGCACATTAGTTGCACACGTAGCATCGTGCCTCGGTGCCTGCCTCGTCTCATCGCATTGCATGCATCGCATTGCGTCGCTTCGAGCTGCATGTGTTGAATTAAGTACTCACTGGGGGTGAGAGTGGATAGGCACGTTAGGAAAACGTTTAGTAGCTTTCCAAGCCATCGGAATCATTATAACGGTTATAACACTGTATTTTTTTACTGAGCATGTAACTAAAACTGACTGACTTTTTATGGGTTTGATGTTTTCTGACAAAATCACTTCAGTTTTGACAAACTAATGAAAATAACGAAAACTTACAACACAAACCTAAAAAGACCAAGAATACTAAGACTTGTAGTGTACCTAAATCCTCATGGTCATATTAGAGGCCTACGCCTATGATATAGGTAGGAGAATGCTGTCTGTGCCCGACAGGGTCCATGGATGTTCATGTAGGTACCCAGCCTGGAACCTGGATCTCGCAAACAATCATACATCTCGACTAATCATGTTTCATGTATGCATCTTTGTTTGTGTAGTAGAGACAAAACATGGACAAAACTCAAACCAGCCGCGGAAGATGTGACCTAAAAAATCTAACTTTACCTTAATGCAATAAATATTTGAGTAATGGAACCATGCATACATGTTGTATCAAAGTCGTTCGCTGCTAAATTATTCAAATAATAATTTTATATAATTTATAGGCAATAAAACGGTGTCGCCTGGCTGGCACGGGTAGACTACCTACTGAGGATAGGTAGGAGGACTTACCTTTAAGCTTGAGCTTAAAACATGCCTTTAGTGATAAAATATTTTGTTTATTATAAAATAGATGACTAACCTACTGAAAACTGTAGGTAGGTATAACTTTTATTAATCTAAGGGTATAACATATTGCTGAGCGAAGCTGGGGGTACTTTTAGGCTGCAAACTGCAAAGTTAAGTTATTTATTAAATTATATCAGTTAAGTATCGTGATACGGGGACCCTGGGCATTTAAGGATCAAGGGGTTTTCCTTTCAAAGCAAGGTCATTACAATTTCTTTTTGAGTAGATGACCGGGATTCTCCCATGATCGAGGGGGCCTGCCTGACCGCCTGAGCACGCACGTTATTTACTGACTACTGCAGTGGGAAAGACGCGGCTGATTTAGTTCCGACGGAATACTAAACGGAGATTGATTGCACTCTAATTTATTCTTGGAAGAAAGAAGCTTTACGCGAGAACGTATTTGGATGGTCCAATTCTAGAAATCACTAAGTCCATTTTCATAGTTTTTGAACTGACAACACTGAACAACGTAGCTTTTTTTTCTCTATGGACTGGCGCAATTAATTTTTAACTTAAAAATCCCTTTCCGTGTATTTTGTGAATTACTTTAACACTAAGTCCTCTCTTTCCAATTCGAGAAATCACTATGTCCTAATATCCCTTAGTCCTGTCGGCTCAAATTAACAAATCCCTAAGTCCATTAAATTATCCCTCTGTTTTGACTATCAAAAAAATTTGCCACTATCTACCCCGTAACAAATATTGGCGACGAATATTACCTTCGCCAATGAGGATCATTTCGATTTTTATCTGTGAATGCAGATTTATAGGGCTAAGAAATCCTTAATACACAGTCCAAAAATTTTTGTTCTACGACAAAAATTGACGAAGTTATGGCCAAATTACTAAAAAAGTTCACTGACCGCGCGGCGCGGGGACGATGACGTCACTATATCCGATCCGAACGCTGCCGGCGTACTGCGTGGATAGAAAATATTTTTTTCTAGCCAAACTATCAGTTTTAGAGAAAAACTTGTAATGACATTTATTCATCAGAATAAAGTAAGCTATCGATAGGTAATTTTTACATCATAAATTGCAAGCTAAATAAAAGCTTGTAATAAAGTCGGGTTTGTTCAAATTTCGAGAACGACTGAACCGACAAAAGCATTAGAAAATTTACGAAAAATAAAATAAAATTTTATCCCGTACAAAATGTTCATGGATTTTGTTATTTTTATTAAATACCTTTACGCCTGAGTTAAATGACACCGACATCAAGGTTCATCAATTTAAGTTTAAAATAATAGGCAGTAATGTATGAAGAAAGAGCTTCTATTCTGTATCTACCTATGCCCGTGTATTTTTGATCGGTGTCAAATCGGAGTTTTTGGTGCGGGGTACGCGGGTGTTGCTCGCGGCGTGAAGGTCAAACGCCCAAGGTCATTGAGGACTCTAATCGCCTTAAGCTCTAAATCTTATTTAACCCTTCAGGAATCTGACAGATTGCAAAATCTCGAATGTCAAGTGCATTATTAATGGCCGCCTACAGCCCGGTCGAGTTAACTGCGCTCCTGACAATCGTGACGTCACATCACTCTGGTACAGACGGGCGAGTGAGAATAGAATATATTTATTTGTAATAATTGTGTTACAACATACATAGGTTTTCAAGTTTCATTGAGCATTTAACATTTAGTTAAATCTTAGTCGCATTCCAGTGAGGTGCGCAGCTCGATCGAGTTGGCTATCTTACCTCTAACTGCCGGAACACAACAATGCTGTTAACATTGTTGTTATGGCGACAGACTTAGGTAAGATGGTGGTAGCTAGCCAGGCGGACTTAGAACAAGCCCTACCACCAACCAAACCGAACAGAAAAATCTGCCCCCACTGGGAATCGAACCCGGGACCTCTGCGTCTGAAGCAGGTGGTCTTGCCAGACCACAGAGGCGGTTAAATGCGATTATGATACTCGAAAGGTTAAATTAGTTAGCTAACCTGCTCCTGAGTATTCTACTTTTAGTTCGGTTTTGAAGAAAACGCATTCTTCGGTGTCTAGTCTGTCTCGCTGCGGACTGGATGGTATTTCTATCATCTGGGTCACTGGCTCGATCGATATGGGAGTGTTGTGGTGTAGATGAAGCCGTGACGATCTGACGATGTCACTTACAAGGCATTCTCGGAGACTCTGTAAAGATGGCAGACAAAAAGCAATGTCATTTAGTACTTCTAATTATAATCAATCATCCATTTTGTAGAGATATTGATCAGGCATCTAGAGCATACATTAGTTAGGGGCAGATAGAAATTTTGATACACTTTTTACATTAAAACACTCATAAATAAAAAATAATATGGATCTAAGTCTGCCTGCCTGTGTACAATAAACAAAACACAGTTGATTACTTTAAATTATTTTTTAATTATTTATCTGTGACCTGTCTCCACCATGTTCTCCAAGCCTTAAGCATGGCAATTCATGTTTTAAATAATTTTGTATGAATTACGGTTTAGACTAGCAATAAAACTTGCAGAAGTTGACTTCCACAACTTGCAACTCTTAATCCAAATTAAGCTCATTACCACTCCTTTGCATCGCATGTATGTGAGTATGAAGTATTGATTTATTTTATTTGCTTGCCTCATTAGTATAAGCCTGGAGGATCCTTTGGCAGTCCTGAACCTGCTCTTTGAATGTAGCAGCTTTCTTTAAGGACGCCTTGCACTCCCAGCACACATTAGGGAATTCTGTTTGCTCACAACCCATCTGTAACACAATAATACTTGTCTGTAACACACTAATACCTGTCTGTAACACAATAATACTTGTCTGTAACACTATAATACTTGTCTGTAACACAATAATAAAGGTTTAAATTACTTAAAGATCACTATTCTGCTGTCTGAATGCAGTAAGTGATACTTCCATTCAAATAATAATGTAGTAAGTTATCATCATCATTTCAGCCATAGGACACCCATTGCTGAACATAGGCCTCCCCCAAAGATTTTCATAATGACCAGTTGGTGGGATAGCAGTATTGTTATGAGTTCATCATCATCATTACAGCCTCAGAACGTCCACTGCTGAACATAGGCTCCCTCAATTGGCTCATTGAAAGGAGCAGTTTCCTGAAAACTTTGTAAGGCCTACTAAGTCTTTTAACTGTCTTATTTAGACTGCTTTCTTACTTTCTAGTTACTAACATAGTTTTGCAGGGCAATCGAGTACCGCACTTAGCCTCATGATTGGGCTATTGTGCGCGATTTGTGGTTTATCTTCCTACTTCAACCACCCCAGAACCCCCCCAGAATGCCAGCAGCCTGTCTTAGCCTCAGGCCTCCTGAAGCGACACTGGTGATTGGAGAGTTTAAAATTTTCTGATAGGTACATAAGTTTTGTATAGGTTTTTTTACTCATTTACAAAATAATGAATGAAGGTTGTAGTTAAAACTAAATAAATACCTCAGATGGAATCTCCCGCAAGGCATCCCTGTAGAACCTGACCAGTTTCTCCTCAGTAATTTTGTGTAAAGACCGCCCCATGCACAGGCACCCATTGCACAGTAATTTAGAGGCTAGGTCGTCTTTCTTTTCGTCAGATACATCCATGGTCGAACTATGATTTCACTTTGTTGCGTTACAGAATCATTTTTTCAGTGATTAAGTGATAAACTTTGTTATTTGTAGCAGAACATGAATGCGGATTGGAATGCGGCAGTAATTTACAAACTTTCACTTGAACCACAACTTAAACTTCTTTTTATTTAACTTTGTTGGTATTGAATTATCAATAAATGCTGCAGGAAATGAGAAACATCCAATTCAAACCTGTTTTAAATGGTTTTTCTGTTTTTACGCCAAAACACTACAACATTTCTCTATGCACTACAACATGAACAACAAAACCCAAAACAAACCGCGGCCATCAAAGAGCATAAAAGAGTAAGAGACGGCACTCCATAGATATTTTTTGAGCTCACGCACACATATGCATTTTAGAGAACGACCCGCAAATCTTTACCAACCGCACAAACTACAGGCGGAGCTACCAACATAATGTTAGGATATAGAATTTTATCATGAGATGACATGTTGCTGGCAGGTTTTATTTTAAAAGTAAACAGCAATAGAATGAATTTAGAAAATAATGACAGGTGTAGAAAAGGAAGAAACTGTGACATTGTATCATTGTATTATTGAATTTCGATAGATTCAGTTGTAAATGTTTTAATATTTAATATCGAGCCTTTACCGCCAAATTATCGTAAGCGACACTTTTGTCAAAAAACCGTTTTTTATCGATTCTAGTATTTTAAACCGTAACGGACCCATCCCTGTTGGTGTTTCCCGCCAAAAAAAAACCGTTACAAAGTTACAGCAAGTGCTAAAATTATCGTGAATACACATTTTTTCTAAAACTTAACGTAAGCGACACATGCATTTTATCGCAAGCGACCGCACTTGTTATCGCAAGCGACATTAGCGCTTCACTGTAGGCGTTTACTAATAAACAAACCTGTTGTTTATATCAGCAAAAGTTCTGATGCAATTAGAGATTGCAATCGAATATTAGAATATTCGAATTTTTAATTTCAAATTATTATTCGAATAGTAAATTAACATGTATTCGAATATTCAAATATTACAAAAATAAACAGAAAAGATAGAAAAAAGACGACTTAGTGTTTGCAAATGCAGTCGGAAGCATCAAATACATATCACCAACTAAAAAAACTAGTCATTGATGTTACCGACTGCATTTGTGAACACTAAGTTGTCTTGTTTCTACCTTTTCTGTTCATTTTTACGTAGTTGTGTTTCTTTCGCTACTTTGATACACATAGTATAAAAGAGGCGATAGAGCGAAACCAAGGTTCCAAATAACTTGAAAGAGACAACTCTATTGATCAAAGTCAGCTGACGATGCTGAAGACGCTTTTTTCACTTCTTTTTCAGTTATTTTCCAACACAAGAAAAACCAGGTCGTTAAGGTATGTTTTATTTGCATTGTATTTTTAGTATTTGAGCTATTCTACAAAACGAATGTAAATTTATTAGTCTACGTCTATTAGTTTCGACGTAATTGTTGAACAAAGATACCCCTTCCCAACGGTTTTCATAGCGCACGCGACATGCGAAAATGCACTGCCTGAAAGAATCACACAACCTATTCCGATTACTATGGAAACCGCTGGGAAGGGGTATCTTTGTTCAACAATTACGTCGAAACTAATAGACGTAGACTAATAAATTTACATTCGTTTTGTAGAATAGCTCAAATACTAAAAATACAATGCAAATAAAACATACCTTAACGACCTGGTTTTTCTTGTGTTGGAAAATAACTGAAAAAGAAGTGAAAAAGTAATGTATTTTTCTAATTCAATCCATTCTTACTCCCATAAAATGTATGAAATTTGTGTCTGGTTTCTTCTTCTACTAATAGATAATTTTATTGGCTATCGCATGATATAAAATATTTGCCTATTAATGTTAAGCTACCCACGCTTTCACTTGTTTTTTAAAGAAGAGATGTAAACTAAAAATTAAAAACTTAAATCGATGTAATTTTTCGAGAAATGGGTCAAGCCCCAAATTTGAAGTATTTTCATCGATAAAATTGTTCATAGATTACGCCTTTAAAGTTTGATCACTACATGCCCGGACACACTGTATACACCGAACAATATGCATTAAAAGGACCTCATGAAGTTATTTCAGCTTTAAATGATTACATCCTAAATAATAAAAAAACCGGCCAAGTGTGTCGGACTCACGCACAAAGGGTTCTGTACCATTGATTTATGAAATATATGTATTTTTTTTAAATTTAAGTTATTTGTATGAAAGATTACGCGGTAATAAGCGGTTTACGATTTACGAGGTATTAAAAAAAACTACTTACTAGATCTCGTTCAAAACAATTTTCGTTGGTAGTTTTTATAGTAATGTACATCATGTTTTTTTTAGATTTTTCATTTTCTTATTTTAGAAGTTAGTGGGCGACTTTTTACCACTTTGGAAGCGTCTGTCACGCAAACTATTCGGTTTAGAAAAAAAATGTAAATTAAAAGTACACATTATAAAGAAAAAAAAAATTAAAAAAATTCAAAATCAACTTTGTATGGATAATTTTTGTATTATTACTCCATTTTCTTCCATAAACTTTGAATTTTTGATAAATTTCAATATCCAATTACAACGTGTGATATATCATTGGAAAGAAGAGAAGCTGGAGATATTTTTAAGATTATTGGCAATACATTATCACCATTAANCATCATCATATTATTATGTTTTTTTTAGATTTTTCATTTTCTTATTTTAGAAGTTAGTGGGCGACTTTTTTCCACTTTGGAAGCGTCTGTCACGCAAACTATTCGGTTTAGAAAAAAAACGTAAATTAAAAGTACACATTATAAAGAAAAAAAAAATTCAAAAAATTCAAAATCAACTTTGTATGGATAATTTTTGTATTATTACTCCAATTTCTTCCATAAACTTTGAATTTTTGATAAATTTCAATATCCAATTACAACGTGTGATATAATATCATTGGAAAGAAGAGAAGCTGGCGATATTTTTAAGATTATTGGCAATCCATTATCACCATTAATTTTTGTTTCAATTGAATTTGAAGTAGATTTTTTTATCGTGGTTTGTACTTTTGTTAACTTTGGCGGCTCGTACCTAACTAGCTATTCAATCATTATCTGGATCAGAAATTTATTTTATTTGAATAAAGACATATTCGATATTAATATCAAATAAAAAAAATTGTTGAAATCACGCGAGAAAAAAAATTAATGCAGTTTTTAGGTCAAATTTCGGAAAAATCTGAAAAAAGTATAAAAATTGACATAATATCTCCTAAACTATAAAACTTTAGCCATAGAAAGTAAGGTTCAATAATTAGCAAATTAATGACCTCCTCTATACGCCTATTAGCTATGTCTCATCTGTGTTAGCTATGGCGGGTTCAGTTCCAGTCCAGTCACCCTGTATATGTATAGCCTGACCAGGAACATAAAAACCCTGGCATAGAGGCGCCTCAATTGCATTTGATAGTGCAACACTGAGTACAGTCGTACATGTGTTAAATTAATAGGCTAAATTTATGTATCAGGATTCAGGATTACGGGCTAATTTGATATTTTCATAAATTACCGAAAAAATATTATTAAAGGTAACCTGGTTTAAATAAATTAAATGAAACCATCAATCGAGCTAGTAGGATTTATTTTATTATTCATCAATAATCAAATTCAGAACTTGAATATTCAACTGCAATGTCTGCTCATGAAAGCTTCAAACTCGGTACTTCTTTCCCAATTCCATAAAATTCAAACCTTAGAAAGTGACAAAAAACTTTAAAATAGGTAGTTGAAACAGACTACAGCTAATTTTCATAGTGGACTGTACTATACGATAAACATGTCAGTCAATTTGACAACCTTTGTCGGAAACATTATTCAATGAAAATATTGTCCGAACCGTTATAGTTCCAAAATACTGGACTGTCCTGTCGATGACATTGACAGTGAGGCGCCACCGTCAATACCGGATCGCTGGTTCAGATTTTTGCCATGTTGGAAACCATATAGTTGAACGATGGTAGCGCCCCCCTGTCATTGAGTTTGGCGGGACAGTTCAGCGTGGGTTATCTATAGTATTTCTCTTCGACAAATACATTAACACATTGTGAACCACGTTTCTTTCACGACTATAAAAATATTTTAGCAATTTAATTCACAAAATCAATTGCACAATATAAGAGTACAAAATTAAAATAACTAAGTCCATAAACTATTGATTAAATATCCCTTAGTCCGTTCATTTAAAATAAGTCCAACGATTTAAAGTTTAAGGTTTATCGGAACTATTTAAGATATTGTTGATTTTGTTCCTAGAAATTAAAGAACTTTTATAAAAGCAAAACATACATTTTTATTTCATTTTAATTTCCATTAGTTTAGTTTCAGTATTAAAATTAATAATTCAATACGCCATTTCTCAAAAGTGGAAAAATGGACTTAGTGATTTATAGAATTGGAGCATCCATTTTTTTTTCTTTTCAAAAATAAGTATTGAAACTCTTTTCAAAAATAAGTATTGAAACGATTACGAAATTTTCGGACTGTGATCCGAAAAATACTGTTTCGGACCGAGAAAACACTTTGACATTAGTCGTCTGGATGACATTGACATCTGTCACCGCTTGCAGAGTGCAGGAAACGCGTAAATAAAAATAGAAATTAATTAAAATTTAGCAGTGATAGCATTATTTAAAAATGTTCTTACTAGTAGGAGATAAATCATCAAAATTCTAAATATTTCATAGACAATATTAGAACCTCACACCTTGATCACTCATCGCATACCGATGAGCGATGATATAACCTTCTTCTGTTCCTATTAATTTTGATTAAAGTACAATGATTTATAAGTGGTGGCACGTATTTGTGAGGCGTAGGACTAAACCTATTCCTGCAGATACAGCTTTATTATGGAAACGCCGACTAAGTGTGGCCTACGCGGTATTTGCATGGAATGCGTTTGGGTTAGTTGTTTACAGCTTTTACCAAGGTAAAGCTGATTGGGCACATTATTATGGACTGAAAACAGATGAAGAACACTCAACTCCACCTGGTAAGCTCGTGAATTTAAGTTATTGTTTGTCTAAATTACTTTGCACTTTATACTTATTTAAATTTAACTTTCAGGGCAAGCCTGGGCCAAGACTCTTGGGATTAAAAATGCCAAAGTGTACAAAATATCTGGTTTTACTAAGGTTGGAGAGTATGATATTGTTGAGGGAGAAGCAGCTCAGAGTGACCAGAAAAACGAGCCTGAAACCAAGGATGAAGAAATGCTTAATGACTAAAGATCTACTACCATCATGTAAATAGTTTAGTTTAAAAAATACAATATATTCTAAATTAATTGCTGTATTTATGTAGAAAGAACATAAACCATAAATGAACAAGAAAGGTAAATTTTATTCTTTAATAAAAAGCTCAGTTTATATTCATTAAATATTTTTTAAATTCAAGGCACTTTTAGATAAATATTTGTTACATTTTAAAAAAGTTATCTACCTAATTACAATTCATGAGAATTATTCAAAGCTCATATGAATATTATGCTTAATCTAATTATTTAAAATTTTATAAAAATGTTAATTCATGTGTCATCATCACAGTCAATACTTAAAAATAAGATTTCCATAATTAATAAGACAAGATAGTAGGAAATTAAAATATTGTAAAAAATGGTACCTACCTACTGAAATAGATTTTAATATTGGATTTTCAACCCAGAAAATAGTTGTCAATGGATATTGTAATAAATTGATTTTAAAAGCTAATTTTCTACAAGTATAATATAAATATTTTCATAGAGAGTCTATACTATGCATCAAGAAAGACATGATATTCTATATTCACAATTCTTTTCATTTAGATCACAGCTGAATAAGGCAAATGATTAACAATGAAAAATTTTAAGTTAGTGTCCATGGTATGTTATAGCATGCCTTCTCCTTTCTATTTCTTGCAGTAGAGCTGATCTGTAAAAACAAAAAATATATATTATATGAAATCAAAGCAGATATTTTTTTAAGTGGTCTCTTAGGAAATGAAGAAGACAATAATTTTGTATTATTGAGGTGTTTGATTTTAGAAAACTCTAGAAGTAGCTAGTGTTCTACTCCTCATTTCATTGAATAAGCTAGCACACTACTTATTAAAGGTATAATGAAGAGATATTTTACCTGTATTGTTCATATTTCATGACAATTAGTTGTAGTTCCTGCTTGTAGAGGCGTGTGAGCATATCTGAGTAGCAATCCAGCTCACTGAGTCTGAACATGTTCCACCGTAACTTGTGATCCAGCTCCTGATCCGCTGTAATATTGCAAATAAACATTTTAGTTCATTTCAGGAAATTACTAATGTTATTTTAATACTTTAAATTATGATTTTAGGATATTACCTTTAGAGTAAACAATCAGCCAATGAGGTATTTCTTCAAGTAGATAATGAGGAACGAGTGTAGGAACATAAGGGCTGACCAAATAACATCCACTAACCAGACAGGGGTGTGCATAGGTAGTTTGATGAGTTATCTCACTGAAAAAAAATCAAAAGGTATATTCTAAATGTGATCTTTTTGCTGTATAGTCTAGCTAGAAGAAAAAATCACCCTCCCGAACCTGTCGACACTAGATGATAGTTGGCTAAAAAGTGTTGAGACTGCCTCTGTCTTTATATTGGAAAGTGATGTTTGGTTTATTTTAAAGTTTACAGCATTCTTCTATTCCTTAGAGCCAAAGCACACGGTGCGTTGCAGCGGCGGTCCCACGCCAGAGCGGTATCGCTGCGTCGTCTTACATAGAAATCTGTGGCGAGCACACGAGGGATGCGACGCCGCGCCGCTACGAATCGTGTGCTTTGGCCATGCGCCTATACAGGGTGTTAGGTAAATGGGTATATGAGCTATTGATGTTAACATGGGCATATAAATGGTATGGTGAAGTCAGAAATTTGATAAGCCAATGGCTTTGGCTCTTACTCACTTGAAATAGTAAACTCCGTGGTGCGGCGTGGACACCCGCTGCCAGGGCCGAGGCACGCTCTCGAGCGGGTGCGTCCAGTGCGTGGTCTGCGTGTTGTGGTCCATGTAGTAGCGGCGGCCGCGCAGCGTGCGGTCGGCCGACCAGCCGGGGGGAAGCGGCAGCTCGCATTCATCCGAACCTGATCGGTGGCCAACCCAGTTAAAAAACTGATGTAAAGGTCATCAGGAAAGTAAACTTTTGTTTTTGTTTTGTTGAAGATTAAGGAAATTTTATAGCCTTTTTACATGGCGACTTTTTGCTGTGATTCAGTCGCGATGCAGCATTGATACAGTCACAGGCGCGCGACTGGAAAACGCGAAGCAATAAGCTCCTTTGTACCTGCTTCAGTGTCTGTTTTTTTTTTTACTAGATCCATTAGTGTTGTTGCATATTTGAATAATGTTTATAAAGTCTTAGATATTGGGTGTAAAAAGAAAAGAACAAAGAAAATCATCATGTTTGATACAGGGTTCGAGGATATACAGGGTGTTAGGTAAATGGGTATATGAGCCGACACTAGCCCATGTTAACATATGCATATAAATGGTAAGGTGAAGTCAGAAAATTGATATCTCCATTTTAATTTTTTAAATATTCATACAAAATAAAATTTGTAAAATCAGATTTGTATGAAAATTAAAATAATTTAAATGATGATATCAATTTTCTGACTTCACCATACCATTTATATGCATATGTTAACATGGGCTAGTGTCGGCTCATATACCCATTTACCTAACACCCTGTATATCAAGGGATATATATCAAGATATATATCGGATATATATCCGATATACATCAGGCCGGTTTTGATGATATATATCAACTTTTAAAATTTGTTACTGTATTTGTACTTTTTGACATAAGATTTTTATTTTTTTTAGTTGATTTTGCCGTATTTCAAAGATATTTTATGTTTTTGCTTTATTTTTCTGATTTTAAGTTTTAAAAACATTAAAAACATGTTTATGTAACACATATGCAATAGTATTCATGAATAATACAATAAAATAATACTATGGCTTTCATACAAAATTGATATATATCAAAGTTGATATATATCGGATATATATCATAAATATCCGATATTTTGATATTTATAATAAATATCGGATATTTTCGAACCCTGGTTTGATATATCAAAAGTAGAAACATACCTTGACTTGTAGATATAATATTGCTGCCATGACCTTTATTAGGATAAGGTAATATGGATGTGTTAACATAATTGGAATAAATTGGAGATGATTGACTGCTTGATGTATATGCTGGAATGACAAAACACAAAATTATTACTGAAACTGAGTGGAGCTATTCTGGCCCACAATAGATTATTGTTATAAAAACTTTGACTTCCAAAATGTTGATTCTGGATTAAAATAGATAGTAAATAAAAAATAATGCAGTGTTATTATATGAATAAATTAAAACAGTAAGACATACTCTCAGTACAGCCATGAAGGCGAATAGAATGTGGGGATGGTGGGTGCAGTCGCGGCGTCAAGCTTAGATTCGAGGAGAGACGAGGCATGCTGGATTCTCTTGACCCATATTGCTGCTGTTTTTGTTGCTGAACCTATTACAATATTACAGAGCATTAAGATTCCTTCATTATTTATTTGTATAATAATAAATTTTAAAAAATCAAATAATACCTGTTGCTGATTCTGATATATTGGGTCTTCCTGTTGTTGTTGCCTGTAATATCTGTAACTAGTCTGCCTACTGAAGGAGTCATCAATATCATTCAAGGTGGAGTGTGATGCCTGCAACATAAATAAAAAAAACACTCAATAATGTGAAGAATTAATTGTGAATAAAATTTGAAGTGTATGGTGCATACCAAGTTGGAATCCAAATGGAACTGTGAATTGTAGTTGCTTGAAGTGCTTGCTGTATCACTGGCACTTGTTGATAAACTAGCGAATCTACAACAATAACATCCTCGGTAGACCTGGCACAGTTATAATAAATTGTAAATGACTGTATTCATTATCCTATTCTGTCTGGACATGGACATACAGGAATATCTCTTACCTGTGAGCCAAATTTGGAACTGATTCACTTGGTGTATATTTTCCAGCATGGCCACTCATGGTTTGGGCTTTGCCAAATTTGTTTTCATGGGTTTGAGAACTGGTATCACTGGAACCAAATGGTTGGCTGCGAGGCCTCCTGTTATGTCCCGTTGTCCAAACATTTATTACTGTAAAATAAGTCATAGTTTAAATAAAACTATGGGCTTGTTTGATAGTGGTTAATCAAGTCTGTTTTCCTGCTGCAAAACTAAAATAACAAGTAAATGTGGAAAACTTATCAAATTGTTTGTTGTAAGAATGGATGCCTACTCTGATGCCAGCAAATATATTTACATTATATACCTAATAAAGAACATTACACATTCAACCTAAGCATTCAACATGAAAATTAAAGATTATTACATACGGCATACTTACTTGGCAAATCTGGCGGAGTGTCCTTTTTTATATATTTACCTACGACACCTTCATTGATCGCTTTTTGTCCCTTGCGAGATATCATTTTGAAATTAGCAGTTAATGAATATAAGAAAATTGAATACAAATGTTATTTATTTGCACCCATTTATTCTGATTTTCGCATTATTTGTTGTAAAATCTACCGAAAAAGTTGTGACTTTTCATCAAAATCAAACATCGGACCGTCCTTATCACAGATTAGAGAGTATGTGCCTGTCTCATCTGTGAGTATGTGGTCCTTAAAGCCAATGAATCACCCTACAGCAGCCAACAACCAATAGAAAAAGTTTGACATAATTTGTGACCAATCAATAGCGCTCGTATTCAAATCAACGATGGCATCAACCAATGGCTAGGTACTTTTTTCTTTTTTTATATAATAGTAAACTAGAGCGTGTCGTGTCCGTATATATGTCGCAGGCAAATTGTACGATTCCGCATTTTACAAACGGCGTCGTCAATTCACAAACGCTCGCTGTTCTATGAAATGCCGAAGGCAAAATGTAAATTGCCTTGGCACTTTATAATATGCCAAAACATTTGATAGCCAATTCAATCGCTGTTTACAAAATGCCGCGGCAAATTGAAGTATTTAGTTCTTTTTCTCACCACGCGAGGCGCTGCTAATCAAAACAAGAAAAATGGCGTCGGATAGTGGTTCTGTGATACAGAAAACAGTGCAATTCTACGTATTCAAAGGACTTTTCACAAAAAAAGACATTTATTATACTTAGTGAGTTAAGAAAGTTTTACGATTCACAAATAGGAGCAGTGAAAAAGCTATGGAAAAATAAAATAGTTTTTGAGGTTATCCGGCACGTAAAACACGCTAAGGTGACAATGGAATCTGGTGCTCGGAGGACTGCTGCGGAATATATTGGTATAAAAAATATTGTGTTATATCTTCTAGACTTATTCTTGGTATAATTAAAATATAAGACTTATAGGATATAGACTAAAGGACTGACTATCGAAACTTATTTAATGTCATATTTTTATGTACCTACCTATAGGTACGTCAATAGTTTAAATTATTCTAGTGTTGTTTTTGTTACGAAAATATTTTAATTATTTTAGGAGTAGCAAGTATTTTAGGTTTGTCTTACTTGAATAGATACCTACCTGATTTCTGAAATTATGTCTGATTTGTCCAACGTGTGTTTTATGATGGTCACCCTATCGCAACAATCATAGTCGAAATTTTATCAATTGAACGAGTTGCCAATTTGCCTTCGGCATTTCATAGAACAGCGAGCGTTTGTAAATCGACGACGCCGTTTGTAAAATGCGGAATCATACAATTTGCCTGCGACATATACAAGTTACTCTATGGTATATCTTCAGCTATAAGATTTTGAAAAAAAAATTCGGACACAAGAACGAAACCAAAAAAAAAAAAAGCTCTATGAAAAGTATTTGGCATTGACATTGTCAATGTCAGCTGATACCAATACCAAACCACCGCGCACGGTCAAAACTTTTTAGGTTATTTTGGTAAATTTTAGTAAATTTACAAAGATTTAATAACAATAATCACGAAATTTTAAAAAATAAAGTACCCATCACTTTAATAATGTTTTATTTAATTGGACTAGGACTAGGTGATGCGAAGGATATAACAGTAAAAGGCTTAGAAATAGTAAAGAAATGTGATAAGGTTTATTTAGAAGCTTACACTTCAATACTTACCGTTGGAAAAGAGTATTTGGTGAGTAGTATCCGTAACTAGCGTTACTAGATTGTGCACAAACCCTTGCCTTTATAATACAAAGTGTAACCCATATTTTCATTATCAAACTAATCCTGTTAACATTGTCTTATAGGAAGACTTTTATGGAAGACCACTGATTTTAGCTGACCGAGAAATGTGTGAGAGCTACATAGACGATATATTAAAAGATGCACAAGAAAAAGAAATAGCACTTTTAGTGGTTGGAGACCCTTTAGGAGCTACCACACACACTGATATGTTGCTGAGAGCTAATCAAATGGGTGTAAAAACACAGGTGAAATTTAATGTCCATAGTTTCCTTTCATATACCCCCTCTGACCCTTATACTAACAATTTTAAATCAGCTTACAATAATACTGAGTATTTTTTTATTTAAAAACATAAAAATGATAAAAATAGCTATATTTACCAATTTCCTATAACAATTGTTTAGCTATTAATTGGTTAAATCATAATAGGTACATTTTATTTTTTGTGTAATAACTTATTGTTAATATTTTCTTATAAAGTTTATTTTAATAAATTTTCAGATTGTTCACAATGCTTCCATAATGAATGCCGTTAGCTGTTGTGGTCTGCAACTGTATAATTTCGGTGAAACTGTATCAATCCCTTATTGGACAGAAACGTGGAAGCCTGACAGTTTCTTTGAAAAAATTGAAAATAACTTTTCTAGGAATTTGCATACATTATGTCTTCTTGGTAAGTTTAATTAATTGAACCTCTTGAATTCTAGATTAATTCTAGATATAAATCAAAACCATTTACTGTATTGTTGGCTGTAGTGTTTTCATCACAATATGATTTGTATTGTGATGAAATATGGTTCAACCCTGGTTCAAAAATCCTATCCTCTCCTCCAACAAGTCCGTTCTCTCCACCCCTCTTCACCGAACTGGTTTTCTCTCCGACTCCTTCCGTCTCCAGGCCATTAGGCTCTGGAACTCTCTGCCTGAAGAGACCAGGCAAGCGTCGAGTAAGTTTTCTTTTAAAAAATCTGTCCATAATCACTTCCTCCAAATGATCTCATCTTCATGAATTGTAATTTCAGTTTAACTCAATCATCTATTTTATGTATGTATTTATTTATTATATATTCTATAATATATTATTTATGTATGTAGTATATTTGTTTTTGTTTTTCTTTCCTGCACTAGAAGTACCGCCAAACAAATTTCTTTTCTGCTCAACCCAAAGGTAAACTGGTCGAGAATGCTTTAGTGCATTAAGTTTGCCTTATGTTCAAATTTATTTTTGGCATAAAAGTTTAAATAAATAAATAAATAAATCCTGTCACAACGGTACTGATCACACACAATAAGTACCTACCTATGATATGTATAAGAATATTTCATTACATATAAAGAAACAATGTACAAAATACATAAAAAATCAAAATAATTAAGTAATCTAAAGTTTACAGCAAGAAAATACAGGTTAATGAGAAGGTTCCTGTGACTGGATGGGAGTTTCTTTCCCATAGTAACAAGATTACTCAATTGGGTGTTTCATTGGATCAAGCGTCAAAACCAATAAAAAATATGTTTTTCAAGACCAAAGTAAATAACTGTCTATCAGTCTAAAACAAATAATTTCAACTTTCAGACATCAAGGTAAAAGAGCCTACAGAAGAGTCTTTGACAAAAAAAGTTCGCCAATACATGGACCCAAAGTTCATGTCTGTCAAAGAAGCAGCACAACAGCTCCTCCAAATCATTGAAAATAAATCTAATCCAGGTAATTTGGTTGAGATTTTTGCATATCAAATTCAATTATCATCTCACTAAGGATCCATGCACACCACGTTTTTTTCAGTTTCCGTCGACGTGCGTTTGCGATCGCGACATAGATACTGTGAGACCAAATTAATTTGCTGCAGTTACATTATGCGCTGTGTACGAGTTAACATTTTTCCAATTTGCATTTAGTACTCGTCGCGCCTAAAACGCGGTGTGCATGATCCCAAATTATGACTTCTTGAATTTAGGATAGTAGGTAAAGTAGCTTTTAACTTTAAAAACACAAAAACATTGATTACAATAATTTGTAATATTTATTAACTGCTTTTCGGCCATTCTTCTTCTTCTTCAGATATCTATATATATAAAAATGAAACCCGTTTCGCGTTGTCACGGCATCACGTGTGAACGGCTGAACCGATTTCGATAATTCTTTTTTTTAAATGTTTGTGGAAGTCCAAGGATGGTTCTTACGGAAAAAAATATTAAGAAAATCTCTACGCTAAGGCGGTACGAAGTTCGCCGGGTCAGCTAGTTCTTAATAAAAAAGGAATCTATCAATTCTCAAGTGAAGTTTCATCAAAATCGGTCGAGCCGTTTCAAGCCTACAAACAACAATTTATTTGTATTAGCTAAATTCGGATCTATTGTGTAAAGTTGGCCTCGTACAATCGGGTCGTTAACTTTGTTCTTTTGTGTATTTACCTGGCCCCTCCCTTGGTAAATGCACGGGAACCCGATGCCTATAAATCTTGAATCATTCCAAATCAATCTCACTAGATGGCGACATAAGTATCGAATTTCTGAAGACGTTTGTAAAAAGTCANGGCCGTAATAGACAATATAGAATTTGGTGAGGTGATGTTGCCATATCATAAGCCGTATCCTCATTTCATTATCAAAAAGGTTGGAGCAAAATGTCTTTGTGTCTGAATCTTATCGCATACGCGGGTTTGTCTGTGTTGTAATTTAACACTCATAATTCGTATAGCGTAAACACAATTATTTGAGGATTTTTAGGTTTTTACTGGAATTTTTTTTTAAACTTAACCGTGCAATTTTTACCTGAATCTCTTTAAACTTGCACCAATATAATTTTAATAGCATAGCAATAAATAATTTAAATCTCTTTTTGCTTAATATTTTGTCATACAAAACTTCGACACAAAATATAACAGAAGACAAACTCCATACTAAACGCGCTCGAGCCACGCACACATAGACACCGCTCCTAGCAAGACTGTCTTGGACGAATGCGAGCNGTGCAAAATGTGCACTATTATTTGTAAGATATTTATTATTTATTCAAAAAGAATAATGAATAGTTAAATTAGTAATTTCATAATTTTAATACAGTATAACACCATGTAATATGTGACTATTTTTATATGAAACCAAAAATATCTGTATTTTAATAATTCAAAATTAAAATTGAATACATTTATATTTTTAAAGAAACAAGTACATATTGATTTAACTATATAGATAAACCATTTTTTAAGGATACTACAAATAGTTTTAACCATAATGTTCATGCCTGAAACTAAAAAATGTTACAAAATATATGCTGGGACAAAATTGACCCAGCGGCGCTTTTAGGGGGGTCGTAATCTTCGGCACTTCTAGTGTTAATGACCTCCTCTATACGCCTATTAGCTATGGCCGGTTCAGTTCCAGTCACCCTGTATATGTAAGTAATATTGATAAGTAAGTAAAAATGTGAAAGTAAAAATGTGAACCTAAGTTATGAAAATTTTATGAATACATATTATGTGATTATATAAGAGTACAAAATTAAAATAACTAAGTCCATAAACTATTGATTAAATATCCCTTAGTCCGTTCATTTAAAATAAGTCCAACGATTTAAAGTTTAANATCGATTAAAATGTAGGCATATTTTTGAATAAACTACGATACGAGCACGAAAAACTAAAACTGGATTTTGTATTTTTTACGAACAGTTCATTTGATATTTACTTGACTGCTCCAGAAGGAGGGTTATGTTTTTTTTACATAATAATTATTTCTGAATATTTTTATGGAAAAATAAGTTTTTTATTGATAATAATTCTACCTTTATTACTGCATGTTTCGATATTGCCCTGTTTTATATACCTAACAAAATAAAACAACTTGGAGTTTTATGATGATAATTTGTAGCGGGATACGAACCCACGGTTGCTGGATATTGAGCGTCGGCTGTGATCATTGTGCTACTTGGACATTATTATACCGTGTCGAAATTTTCAATAGCGTCTCTAATCTGTTTTTTGCTTAGTTACATTCCTTCATAAACAAAGCAGTAAACTTATTGGCTTTAGCGCCATCTTTTGACATAGCACGCCAAATAAATACTCCGCTCAAGTTGCTAGAATAGAAAGCATTAGCGGGTCGCAAACCGCGGGACGGTCAAGTCCGCTGCGGCACACTAGCGCGATCTGTTATCACCACTAGGAAACCAAACGGGCCGGAGCAGTTTCAAGACTTAGGTCGGCCACATTTCGAGTATGGGATGATGCATCTGTACTAGTATTATATTATCTGTGGTAAATGATAGACGAGTTTATGGGGTAGGGTCACAGATATTGTGGGTAGGGTCGCTTAAATGCGAGACGATTCTCGTTGCCCGCGGCTGGTGCTATTACTTATTCTGTACCGCGGCTTGGGACCGCAATTCCACAACCGGGTGCGGGTGAAAATCGCACCGCGAGTTCTTAGCCTAAGGTGGGACTCGAACCCACGACCTTTCTTAAGTAGATATGTTTCGTTGCTTACCACAAGTAACTAAGGAAATATCGATATAAATTATAAAAATATGTTTTTCTTTACTTTTTGCTTCAAAAGGGTTCACCATCAAAAAATCCCTATGATAAAAAATAAAGAGCTTTAAGACAGGCAACAATAGAAAAGTTCCATTTCAGTTTTAGCAAAAAATAATTTATCAAGACCAAACTTCCAACTATTTTTGAAAGATTTAAAAGATTAGGAGGACCTAGGGAAACGAATACGGGATAGATACGCAATAATCTTTAACATTGCAATTAAATGATTTCGTTCTTGTATTTACAGGAATCCAGAAAAGTAACATTGCCGTTGGTTTATCCAGAGTCGGCTCAACGGATCAGAGGATAGCTGTAAAATCGTTAGACGAGATGCAACACTTGGACCTCGGTCCGCCATTACATAGCCTTGTCATCCCCGCCCCCGATTTACACCCGCTCGAACTTGATTATCTTGCTCAATTCAGATAATATGTTAATTTTATGCTGATATGTTTGTATAATTAATTATAAGTAAAATAAAAAAAATTGAAGTCATATTATGTATTTATTATTTACAAATTATGATAATAATTAAAACCATGATATCAACAGAATTCTAAGCTGCTACCATGAGAAATAATAACATTCAAACCCATTATTGGTCCACAAAGCTACCACATTACTACGAAATAAAATTATTAAAATCATTTGAATCATAAATGTTAAAAGGTACATTAATTATTATTTGGTCTAAGTTTCACAATATAAATAATGAACATTATTATACACAAATAACGGAATGTAGATATACCAAATGGTGGATACACAACAGGTCCCCTCTAATTGGTATACATCAAACAACTTTTTTCTAGATAAAACTGGAAAATGGTGGGTCACATTATAATAATTAAATTATAATTAATATTTTAGAGGCATGGCTTATTAATGTAATAATTTTACACTATATAACACTAGGAAAATTGTCTTAATTATACAGTCTTTAGACTTAGCTGTAAGAGTACATACATGATTTTATATTAATATAAGAAAAATTTTATATAAACATGTGCTTTCTATTCGTCAAGTGAGATTACAAAACAGTGAACTATATAAATAGACATTGATTAAGGGCAGATTTTCCAATAGTCAGATAAGACTTATCTATTCTTGCAATAATCTGTGACTTATCTGAGAAATCTTTACCACCTTTACAGGCAGATTTCTCCTTACATTATAAGATGTATCTACGCAATAAAATATAACTAATAACTCTAAACAGTGTGTATTAAATTTCATATAAAACACAAAGGATCAGAACACGATGTTAAAAATGTGACCAGTAAATTACGCAAATCACTTGTACTCGTCTAACAGTTGTTGCTTTAAAATGTAAGATTAATGACTAATGATTTTCCGTCATTAGTCTGTCTTTCCTTATGGGCTGCACCCAGTAAGTACCCTACCAACTAATTAACTGTTTCCGAAGAGACTCGTCGCTACGTTGCGCCATCGTATCGCGATACGCGACCATAAATTTTAAAGAATAAAATATGCTAGTTGTGCATTTTCTTCAACTGCGGATTAAATGTAGTTGTTTGTATTCCTACATTCAAATGATTTATTGCTATGAGAATTCTTCAATAACTTATACATTCCACACTGCAGATTACATAATTGGGTACCTACTTAGTTTACGAGTATTTATTATATTTTATTGCCGAAATAAATATTAACTGGAATAATCGTGCCTTATAGTATTTAAAATTTAAACAGCCGACACTTGTTGATCGTCATCGTCGTCGTCAGGCGTATCTTGATAATAGTCATATTGGCGGGTTACGCCTTCATGGGAGTGTGCGCGACTGAGACGCTCGAGACGCGCCACCTGAGCGGCCAGCGTGTAGGGCTGCGGCATGCGCGGCGGCGGCACCGGCCGCGCGCAGCTCGGCGCGTTGCACGAGCCGTGCCCGCTGTCACTCGACGTAGCAGACCCAGTTTTACGCAAAGGCAAGTTTACTAAGGAAGTCACGCTACTACTTTCTGCTGACAAATCAACAGGAAGAGGCGTGGGCGTATCAGAGTGTGATCTCTCGTGTGCGGTTCGAGGGCAACAAATGCCAGGGCCGGGGCCGTCCCGACGATGGGAGCAGGGCGACGGGCCCGGTGGCGGAGGTCGTGGCTGATGTGGCCTCGTCTTCGCCGGTTCGGATAAAGCCAATAACTTCCTTACGGCTTGGGGGGAAGCGGCGCCAAATTTATTGCCCGCGAAACTCTTTTTACTTTCACTGGCTGAGGAAGCACTGCTTGTTGTGGACAAAGAGGGAGACGGGTGACGGCGGCGAGGCATAGCGGGGACCGGCCCTGATCCCTCGCACTCTAGCGACAAAGCGTGTAAACGCTCTTCATCTGTTTCGACATGCATTCGATTCAAATAAGCTTTTACTCTTCTAACCATTTGTGCTTCTTCAAACATCTTTTTAGGATTAGGGACATTTGAGGATTTCTTTCTTCTTTTAACAGTAACTTGTCCCTGTTGCACACCTCCTGTGGTCAGTTGGTTGAGGGCTACCATGGCATTTGATGGGGGTTGTTTACCAAATTCTAATAACGAAATAAGGTCATATGGTGAGCTACACATATTTGTAAGAGTTCGAACTTCTTTAGCTATCATACGAAGTTTTTCGAAATTGACCATTCCTTCAACTTTAGTGTCATTTCCCAAATGGATAAATGTAAGATCTTTTTTTACTACAGGATAGAAGGGAATAACTGGTGATCTACCTTGTTCAGTTGTTACTAATTGTCTGTACTTAGACATGTTTCGAGATGGATCCATCAGCATTTGTAAATCAGTGAACAGTTTATAATATTTGGTAGGCAATTTTTCCCAAGTCATTCTCAATCTTGATACTGCACCATGTCCCAGGCCAGACACTATAGCAAACATGGAATTGAAATTTTTGCATTCCTTGCAATGTCGAGCAACCTTAATGAATTGCTTGACGATTTTTGAACGTCGAACAAGATTTTGTTCATTTACAACTTCAGTAACTACCCAAAACATTTCTTTGTTTACAAGTTCTGCAAATTGTGATAACATTGGAATACCATATCGACTTTTTAATTCAAATAGATCATCAACATATTCAGTGCTTTCAATTTGTCTGAAGATGCAGAAATCTTGCAAAGTTAATTGCACAGCTACTTCCACAGCATTTAATTGCAAGAAGTGGACAACACTTTCTCTCAGGAGTTCTGGAGCCATCTCATCTGGTACTAATGTCTCACTGACCCCATTTGTTTTCAGGTAATACCTTGAGCTAAGACCAATTCTTTCAGCTAAATTTTGGAGCTGATCTGGCAAACGATGTTGTTTAATAATGCCACCTTGTGCTACAGATACTTCACATAAGGAAAAGTTTGAACTGGGATCAGTAATACCAAACTCTTGCAAAGTTAACATGACAACCTCTCTAGCAGTTGTCTCTTTGTGCACTAACAAATATTTGCAAGTTTGGTCAGCCCTATACACTTTTAGAACATGTTCTGGGTAATCAGAAGACTGATATTCATCATAACAAATAGATATGAGGTCTGGATTACTGTGTGAACTGTAAAATGAAGTACTTGAGTTAGCCTTATTTAGAGATTCGGAATTTGAAAGTATACTATCATCAGTATGTAATCCATCATTAATTGTGTTTTTAGGAAGTATATTCATTTTCATTAAAGCTTTTTGTAATCTCCTTTTGGGACCTAAAGTCATGAATCCTTTTTGTGGTTCTTTTTTTATGCTAAGCTGTTGCGGTTTTTTGGTGGGGGATTGAAATACTGGATTTGCAATAATGGGGTCATCACTTAGCAATTCTGCTGTTGATAATCGTGCTCTGGGGTCTGTCTGCCATCGAACCATATTAGCACATCCACGGTGCCTGGATGAATTTTCAGGTGTAAGCAACATTTGCTTAAAATTTAACAAATTGCTCTTTACTGTAATGCTCAAGTGTGTTGAACCCCTCAATATTTCCATAGCTTTTGCATGGCTGACATGTTGGAATGACTGCCCATTAACTTCTATTACTTGATCACCTCTTTTCAGCCCAACTTCCTCTGCTTTAGAATGTTTTTCAACTTTCAATATGAATATTCCATATCCTCTTTCATAGCCTCCTTCTATGGTAAAGTTGAGAGGTTCATCCCTTGAAGGGCGCGACAATGTGACACTCCTGCTGCGCGCTTTTGCTGAGCAGGCAATATTTAGCAAACGTAATTGACTTTCCATCTTATTATTTTCCAAGACAGATTCAAAACTTTCTAGAAATTCCATCATATTAGGATCTGTTTCAAAATCAGTGAAGTGATTGTTAACCCAAAGTAGAACTACCCTTGTGACTTTATCACGAACAGAAGGCTCAGAGAACCAGGCAAGTAGCTGTTTAGCAACAACTAAAGGGCTTTCAATAAATGTTCTATGGGTTAATAAGAAATCCTCTACATATGTGGAATCCCGTGAATTATCTTCAATAAGCTGCAACATCAATTGATCTGGAGTACCTCTTATAACTACATGGCCTTGCTGACGACCTGACTCTCCAGGTGTCCCCCTATATTCGGTGACCAATACAACAACTCCATTTTCATTTTCATGTCGTCTTATATTTTCTTCTCCTTGATGCAGTATGCGGTAATAGTCAGTTTGTGTAATGCAAACAAATTGACAGTCATCACAACGTGTAGTCATCACACCTCTGTGATACAGTTTTTCAAGTGTAGCTTCAACCATTCCAAAACTATCACCAACATTTAGATACTCAATTTCTCCATTTTGATGTTCAATACCAACATGCCCATTGATAAGAACTGACCATGAATCATGTTCCTCTCCATCATTCATCACCACAGTCCCAGCCTTTTCAACAACGGCAAAAACCATTACTGCACACAATGCACGGCGAACTGTGAGAGTCATGTTGGTAAAAGCCTTCAAATGTTGAGTGAATTCCAAAAGAATCTCTATATCTTCATCAGTTCTCTCACTTGGGTCTTTTTCGAGGCATTCTCGTACAGCATCACGTACAGTGAGGCTGTCCATACTCTCTTCCAAATCTTCTTCCTCGTCAGAGTCCACAATGGACTCGAGGAGGCCTGACAAATCCACCTCCATGTCCATATCGAGTGAGCTGTGGACTGAAGTCATGGTGTCACTGCCACTGTATGCGGAGCTCGTGTCGCTGGCGTTGGAGCACTTGATAGTGTGGGGGTACAGCTCCGGACTGTGACGGCCTCCACGCCCACCTCTCAACATTGTGAAGATTCTACTCTATCCTGACTTACTTTCTTCTGAAACAATGCAAATAGTAATCATTGATAAGGATACAATTATTTATACCATCAAAAACCCAGTCTATTTATCAATAATCAAAACGGTTGCCTACTATGAATAAAAAGTGTACCTACTCAATATGTTTATGTAAGTTTATTTAGTTCAGAGAGCTACAATTTCCAACATGCATCTCATACAATAAAACACAATTTATTCTAATTTTATAACTATTGACATGTGAGAAACACTAGATAAGTATAAAATAAGCCAAATTAAATAAACCACTATGTAATGAATGCACTTTCTTCAGCTAGTCGTGGTAGGTAGGTACCTACGCGAAGATACTTGATGCGTGATGTATACTCATCATTACGTAATGATACTTTTGTTTTATCAAACAATGTAGAACGTTAAGTCATACTGAAAAGATGAAATAAATAAACATTAACGGTTTGTACCTTCACATCACAATTTCTATTTATTTTGCATTCATGGCGGAACTGTCAATGCTTCCATGTTGCTTTCTAAAATGATTTATCTCCCACAGAGGTTGATAGTAAGATATCAGCTAACACAACACTGCACTTGTAACTTTACACAGTCCTATCCCGAAAACAATGATAATTTAACTTGAGATCAATACTTGAAAACAGTAGAATTACACCAAAAAATCTTTAGAAAGCCACTTTCTCATAAGCTGAACGCCATAAACAATCGTGTTTTTTTTCTTCTATCTTTTCAAAATTTCACAGACTAAAGATGAATAAGCCGTGAGTTTATAGCCGTGGGTGTTCCCCAACACGCTAGGCGTCTTACCTTTAAAAATAACGCTATCGGTACAAAAAGATATAGGGTAAACGCACATAAGATCAGTATAAAACACAAGAATTTTGAAATATTTATAAATAAGTAAAAAAACATATATATTCAAAATATTTTGTGGGACAGCAAAACACGCTGTATTCTTAATAAATATCAGCTTGTCTCTAGAGATGGGTAGTGGGTAAAAACCCATTTCACCCGATTGGGTTAAAACCGGGTGATTTACCGGTGAAAAACCCGGTTTTTACCCATTATCACCCATTCTGGTGGGTGAAAACAAAAATAGCGCTTTTTTTTAAAGTGAGAAGTGGTATTTGTTGCTAAGGGGGCGTTCTAGTGTTACGTAATGCAATCTGGGGGAGAGGAGGTCTTGAAAAACGTTACAATGCGTTACAGTGGCGGAAGGGGGCGGTTCGATTTCAAGTTTNAATTATAAAATTATTTGTTTTCACCCGGTGTAAACACCCACGGGTGGAATGAAACGGGTTTTTATTGGGTTTTTACCCTCATGTGGGTTTTTACCCGGGTGGAAACCCATCTCTACTTGTCTCACGGCTCAAGTTTAGTCTTAGTTTTTTACAATGGCCCTGTCAGTAATAATGATGATTTCATATAATCAACAACCAGTTGCTATCAATCAACTCTTTCAACTAAAGAAAGAGGCACTTGAATAAATGTAGGGTAAACATTTTATCATTGCTATAGTTAAGGCGACAGACTTAGGTAAGATGGTGGTAGCTAGCCAAATGGATTTAGATCAATATCAACCAAAATGAGCAGAAAATGTTACTCCACTGGGAATCGAATCCGGGGCCTTTGCATCTGAAACAGGTGGGCTACCAGTACCACTAGGCCCAAGAAGTAGTAATAATGGTTACTTAGTTTATTTTTAACTTATTTTTCCTCTCTCGCTTGTATAATGTCGCTTGTTTGTAAGAAAGGGAATGAAATGAATTATACACTTTCAAAGGCGGATGTATAACGCCAGATAAATAACGTTATCTGTGATATGAAAAAAGCATAAACTTGGTATCTCTTCCATAGACTACAAAAAATATTTTTTTATGAACGCAACTATACGCCATCGGAAGAAGTTGTTAGTCATAATTACTTTTTTAGCTAAAAAGATCCCCAAGGGTCATTATCTTTTGATATAATTCACTAAAATCAATATTTTAAAAAATCGTTTGTATTGATATAAATATTTCTACGTAAAAAACAGTTTTTGTAATAAAGAGTATCCAAACTGGCCAACTGAACATTTTCTATCTCCATCTATTTTCAGATTTAGGTACTTTTCTACGAGTGTAGCGTTTTCGCAGCAAACCAGTGATGATAATCTTTTAGTTTTAATTTTGTAAATTGATCGTTTCCCGTAGTGAAAAAAGTCGTGGAAACATATAATTATTCCTGTGAAAGTGCATCATCTCAAAATACTCTTGTGCGTAGCGTTAAAATGCGTTCTGTTGAAGTGTCGAAACGGATGGTGAGCGATGGCGAGAATACGGTGATAGATTTTTGATGTTAAATTTTGCTCCGTGTCATCATCGCTACAGATTTCGATCACGACATTTCAGTACATAAACCGTTTTGTATCGCCATTTCAAGTGTTGTAATTAGCAAATCTTCAATAATCTTGAACGATTATTGTAAAAGAAATATATTGTCATTGACTGACCGGCTGATATTACACGAGGCTTGTATGTATATGTGACTTCTACCTTCTGCTATTCGTGACACGCCTCAGAAAATAAAGTCAGATTTGTGAATCGAATTATTTCTTTTTGTTATTGTGTCATTTTAGTGATATAGACGTTTTAAAATTACGTAACTGTTGTGGAATCTTATGTGTAGAATGGCCTGAGTGTGACCACTCCATTACCGTCATGTGTGACGAAGGAATGTTTGTTTAGGCTCTAATATTGTGCTACGACCTTACGGGAAGTGCGCGTTCGTCTCGTGGACTGGGCCGGATCATGACTCTGCCCGAACCAAAACAAGTTACGCATTGATCACTATCGACGTTTTGTCACTTTGGACACTTTTTTATCGCCAAAATGTCTTCGGGAACGTTTGTGGACAGGATTGATCCTTTCGCCAAGCGGTCGCTGAAGAAAAAGACTAAGAAGTCGCAAGGCTCCTCCCGATACCGCAACACGCAGGACGTGGAGCTGCAGGCGCTGCCGCTGCTCAAGGGTACGTGCTGCGTCCCCCTCACCCCTCACTCCTCACTCATCTTCACTCTGTTTGTTGCCATACACACCATTCAGTCATTAGTTCAATGAACCTTTGATAATAACAATTTGATATTTACAACTATTATTATTATCCACTTTTGCCCCAATGCCAAATTTGCAGTACAGTGCAGTAGTTACATGGTGGTGGACTAATCTGACCAATTTGTAGCTAGAAAATGTGTATCCAATAACTGGATTATTATTCATAGTAGGTACTTGAATATCAGCTAACATACCTAAACACTTATAAATAGGGAAGTAGAACATTGAAGTGAAATACTAGTTGACAGAAATGAAATGATTTTTAATTGAAACACACAAAAAGTTAACTTTCTATTGTTATATTTCATAAAAACCTATTCAATATAAAAATAAATGTGCCTATACAGGTCCTTACTTGTTTAAACATTCTTATGATAAAGGTAGGTTAGATGTAAAATATGATTAATTTGCATGCATTATTTCTTCGTTGACCCTGACCTAGTTATAATCCAATTCTTTCCATTGCCCCAGAGTCTGGGGCTTACTGTCTAAAGATTAATCATAAGTAAAACCTTAATTTCTTGATTGAGTAAAAACTTAACAACTTTTACATAAAATTTACAAATTGTATAAAGCTAATAATAGCAATTTTGATTGATACCAATGTATCCATAAATCAATCACTGCTTTTTTATTTTTTTACGTTAAAGTTAGTGACTAGTATGTTAAAATGATATGATGATAGGTTGGTTTTGCTGATGTTTTTCTAACATGGTACATAGTTATTATTCAACTAATTTGTAGCCCCCCATTTCCAACAATTTTTTAAAAGTTTTTATTTCATTTATAAGAATTTAATGTAAATTCTGACCTGTGCTGCTTTGGTGTAAATAAAAATTTTCATTTGTAACTACTTCCTTATTTACTTCTGATCTAAAATTTTGAATATCAAGTAATTGAATAACAATGCAACGTCATTTCTGGTCCGATGATGGAACTGAAGTAACTTTTTTAGATCAATGATGTTCTTACTAAAAAGATGACAATGAATAACTTAGAACAAAATTGGTTTCACCAAGTTTTTTTAATAACAAACAAATTCTTATTTATCTTATAAATTCTGAAATAGATTAATTAATTATTTATTTATTAACATGAAATATAGTAACACACACAACAAAATAATTATTGTAAAGGCCACAAGCCTACTACTTTATTATACTTCTTTACCACCCAGGGTGTAAGATACTTTAACCCTACACTGCATGATTTTTTTGTTTTTAGGAAAAATAATCTTTTCAGGTAATATTTGTGGTCTAGAACACGGGAAGCACAGCTAAAATTAAAAAAAACTAGTAGTTGAGGAGAAAATTGATTTTTTAATTTTGTTCCATATGTGGCACTGCATGCAATGACCTACCTAAATTAAAGCGTAATCAATACAGGGCATGTGTAGTAGTTATCAAGGATTTCTCCCATTTATGAGGCTTATTAGGTAAATATTGGCGCAGCATGATAGAGGCCTTAGTAGCGCACATCTGCTCATCCACTGACAATGCTTCTCGTTTGGGTATAGCTTGACATTTTTTTTAGGATTTCTATTAGATGTCTGAGTTATGGAGACGATCGTATCCTGCAGTGCCTGCTGGTGGCTGAGTTATATTGTCATTGAAGTTTAGATATTGCTGAATTTTTCAAACTGGTTTACTTACTGATATGGTATTTCTTATCAATGGCAAATAATTACAAGAAATATTGCAAAGGAATTTCAACTTCTGGTTCTAGATCGGTTTGCCCTCAAAACTCAAGATTTGTTGGATGGTATTTTTTTTTCCAGCTGATATTTTGCTTTATTCTGGCGACGGAAACAGCAGATGTAGGAGAAGCGTCTTTTGCAGCAGACGCGGAAGAAACAACTGTTGATTGAAGTGTTCGTGAAGCCAACTGCACCACGAATCTGAATGTAGGGAACAGCAGGATCTAACCACTAGGATTTGGTATATTATGCTGCTGCATATCACCAGCATATGACCCTGATAATGGTGCAGCTAATTTATACCTGTTCAGTGAAAAAAATTGCACTTCGTCATCCGTACTTATTGCTAAATGTTTCAGAAAGTTTGTTGAGGGTAGATCTAATTGAGGCAATGTCATCGTCATTTTCGGCCTGAGGAGTCTTGTTCATCTTCATTGCCTAATGGTATTGTCAAATAATTTTGGATTTGAGCGCTGGATGAGGTTTTCTTCGCCACTATGCAAAAATAATCAACATCATACCATTAGTATACATATCTAAAATTGTATCATCACTGCATGAAGTGACACATCGGGAACACACAGTAATTGTAAAAATTTAGTATCGAAACACGGCCGAATCAAAAAAATATACTTACATTTGTTTAGATCACTCATATTTCGACATGAAAACAATTTATCCACTGTTGCATTCCATAAACAACTATTTTTTATTAAATTTTCAAAATGAATACGCACGGCGCGTGGCTGACGTTCAAAATTTTTAATTAAATGACTGATTAAGCGAGATAGTGCTGCCATCTAATTTCAACTAATGCAATAAATGGATGCTATTGGTTGTTGTCACTTTATTTACGTAATGATAGATGCCACTACTTGGCTCAAATCAGAAAAAACATCAATTATATTGGTTGTCCCACATAAGGGACTGAATGCAGTGTAGGGTTAATGCAGAGGGTTCTGTTCCATTTCTACAATATGATTTCTAGATAAATAATAAATAAATAAATAAACATCCTTGGACATTTTACACTGCGCCGCTAGCCCCAAACTAAGCAAAGCTTGTACAAGACTAGACTAGACAACGGATATAAACATACTTAAATATCTTAATTTTTTTCGTGATATAGCACTGAACATTATTATCAGGTATGAAAACAGAATCAGGATGTAAATTGACTAAAAGTCAATAGATCAATACAAAGTTTAAATTTCAGATCAGAAAAAAAAAACAAAATAAAAAGTTTTCTATTTTTAGTGACCAGGCTTACTACTTTGGGTCATCTAAACATTTTTTTAAAATAATTATGTTACAATCAAACATTATGAGTCCAACTATAAAAAATATTATTGCTGTAGATTCTATGTATAATCCTTTATTCTACATAAATGAATGTTATTTGCATGATTTTCCTGAAACCAAAAACACAACAAACAACAACAAGGCAGACTTATTTAGATGTTAAAAGTTATATGATTTATTAAAATTTCCTATTACAAATAGTTAAAATATTAATTAATTACCTTTGGCTTCATTTTTTTGTTGTGTTTAATACTGTATATGTTGATAGCCCAATAAATAAATAAATTTCCTATGCTACATGACATCAAACTAAACACGAAACTTTTACTACAGAACAAAAATTATATTTTTAAACTATTTAACATCATATACACCCATTTAGACCATAAACTATTAGTATTAAAATCTATTCCACTGATGCATGCATCAACAAAACTACATACAAACATTTGAATTTTTTTTGGCATTATACTAAATTGCTTGTGGGTGGCTCAGTTAAGACACACAATAAAGAGGAACACTAGTTTTAGAGTATTCGAATTCTTCTTAGATTAAAATTAAGTATTTTACATATTACTTGCGATCATTAGTATAATTAAAATAATCAACTCATATCAATCAAGCTCCAAAAAGAGATTCAGCTGTAAGTTCTAATTGATGCTGCACAACAGAATGCAACCAACACCAACAACTGAATTTCGCCGCACGCCGTCGCGCTGTTGTAAAGCATTGCCAAATAATTTTAGAATCACATGCTGAACTTCCATTGTTGCAATGTAAATAATTAAATGTATTTTTACAATAAAAAATATTCTTCTTCCAGATGTAGCCAGCAGTGAACAGGAGGAGCTATTTATTCGTAAACTACGACAATGCTGTGTAGCATTTGACTTCATGGATCCTGTCGCTGATTTGAAGGGGAAGGAGATTAAACGTGCCACGCTGAACGAGCTTGTAGAGTACATTACTGGTGGGCGTGGGGTGCTTACTGAACCTGTCTACCCAGAGATAATAAAAATGGTAAATCAATCATAAAAGATCTAACAAACACATAATTTCTGGATATTCCATCAATACCTCATACATTATTACTTCTGGATCTGAGGCTGCAGTGCTCTTAGTATTTTCCATCACACTACATACATAATATTAGTTCATATCTTAAAGTGTACCTATACGATGTTGTGGTTTTTATTGTGACTAGAGGATATGACGGCGGCCTAAAATTATTCGATTAAGACAACATATTTTTAAAGCAATTCAAATCGCACAATTCGTTTACGACTGCTGGACTTTTTGCTAGTGGTTGTGTTTGAATATCTCAAATGGGAAATGTTTGCATGATGAGCTTAAAACAGATGTCGTAGTCTAACCCTTTGTTCTAAATATTTCTTATCTCTTTAAAAAATATTCACTGGCTTTGAATGAAAGTTTAAAAAGCCTTTTGCGGGACTTCAAGGCCTATTAATAGGTAGTAACTTGCTTATAGTAAATTATTTAATACACACAATCAAGGTCTTTGTTGTCTTGACGCTACCGAGATTATTGTTGGTAAACAACAACACCTTACCACCAAGAGATATGGCTAATGCTTTTCAAACATTTTATGGAGAATAATAGGTCATAAGTAGCAAAGATTTTCATAATATTAATATTACACCATGTGAATTCACAGCAATTGGTAGGCATACTGTGTCGTCACATTTAGTCGTAGGTTTATTATCATTATTAGTATCCATTTAAGATAATGCCCTCACCCATTAACCTTATAAATAAAATACACAATACTTTTCGTATATTTGTATGAACCAAGTATAAATTGGTCATTCCAGTAAATTCAGATGTCCTTTCTAAACAAAACGTAGTTGCAGAATACATGTAGAAGTCTTTTAGTGAAAGTTACGATTTTTTACAGTTGATTGAATTTTTCCCTTACATAAGCATTCTGGATTTTCGTAGATATCGGCCAACCTATTCCGCACTCTACCCCCGAGCGAAAATCCTGATTTCGATCCTGAGGAAGACGACCCGACTCTGGAGGCCTCGTGGCCACATCTCCAACTAGTCTACGAGTTTTTCTTACGTTTTCTGGAGTCTACCGATTTTCAGCCCACTATCGGCAAGAAGGTCATTGACCAGAAATTTGTATTGCAGGTAATTGCTAATCAGTTTTATTTACCATGAATTTACCAGATCAGAATGACCGCAAACTGTGTATGTAGATACTACATATGTAGTACCAATAAGTGCAAGTGCTGTCGCCAGGGTAATCAAGCCTGTTGCGCTTGCGGTTGACATGATATTGCGGCTATCGACACTAACTAGTAGAATTAAACTGTTGTGATTGGCATGTAGGTCCATCATTTAAAGTAGGACATTCAAATATTTATTAATATTATCGTGTAAGTCTTGTATTGTGACCTAATTTGAATATGTTTTCAACAGCTTCTAGATTTGTTCGATTCGGAAGACCCACGAGAACGTGATTTCTTGAAGACGGTTCTTCACCGTATCTATGGAAAATTCTTGGGGCTGCGTGCTTTTATACGGAAACAGATCAACAACATATTTTTGCGATTCGTTTATGAAACTGAACATTTTAACGGCGTAGGGGAGCTGTTAGAAATATTGGGAAGGTATGTTTCTTCACATTCATATTTTTAAACTGCTTGATTGTTGTTTTAAACATATTAAAATACATCGAATTACCCATCGATTGTCGTTCGTCCAATATAATCTTTCGGTATTCATTTTCAAGTAGCACTGCAATACTGGCAATAGTTATAGAATGGACGTTATCTACCTATAGATATCTTTTATGAGTGTGTATCTAAGATAAGACACTATAGAACTATGTTTAATTAGGTGGCAATATGTATTGGTGTTAGATTTTATGACAAGTAAAGGTTATTAGGTAATCAAATTCTTGAGCAGTATTTTAAACTTGGCTAATTAGCTTCTCTCACAATCATGGATTTTTTTGAGTCACGGCCGTCCGTCACTATGATATAAGGAAATACATATTAAATATTATTTTATTTACGATACTAGTCTAGTGGTATTGTTTTGTACTACAATTTCAACAGATGCGGGCATACGGATGAATCCCATATCAGATACCAAAATTCTGGAATAAAACAAGCAATGAAACTTACGTGAATTGTCTCCAGTTTTGTACTGGAGGGCGATACTAAGCTGAATTGTAACTTCTTCTATTACTTCGAATTTATTTAATTGGATCGGGAACCGTTGATGAATCGCGACTTACGTCCCGTCTACACGTGTCTTCAAGCAGTTCTGTAGATTAAAAAGCTAATTTGCATGTAAATGTAAAGTATCAATATATTATCCCATTCACTGTCCACAAACAAGACACAATAGTCAAACAATAGGGCGTGAACTATAATGTACTACAGACATCGGTACGTTAAGCTAAACACTGAAACCACTGGGATCTTATGTAATTGTAATAGGCACGGCTTTGCAACAAATATTATGTACTGGCCCGCGCCAGTGGAAATAAAACTGTGAATTTACTAATAAATAAAGTCGAATAACATCGGTACCGAATTCCCTATGCATCTGATTACTCATCTTTGATTGCAAAGTATATTATAACAGTCTTAGTAACTTTAATGTTTTTTTTTCATACTACTGACAGTTTCTTTTGGCGCGTACATACTAATTCGTTGTCATGAAATTAAAACGACAAAACGAGTCTCAACGCGACATTTATTGTGTAGTACATGAGTACATACAGTTTGACGTTTCTGCTGTGTTGCTACAGCCGTAGTTCCAAACAGAGCGGGCTACAGCGGACATCTTCGGCTACCCTAGTGCAAATGTCACGTTAAACCCGTAATTATCTATTTTAATTGTCATGGAACGCGAAAGAAAATCTTATATTCGATTGTAAAACTTGTGATGCCCCCATTTCACACGGATTTTAAAATTCCAGTATAATAAACGGCTTCGCTCTGCCACTGAAGAGCGAGCACAAACAGTTCCTGGTGAAGGTCCTGCTGCCGCTGCACAAGGTGAAGTGCCTGTCGCTGTACCACGCGCAGCTGGCCTACTGCGTGGTGCAGTTCCTGGAGAAGGACGCCACGCTCACCGAGCCCGTGGTGCGCGGCCTGCTCAAGTTCTGGCCCAAGACGTGTTCACAGAAAGAGGTGAGACTTAGCTCGACATCACGGTCACTAGAACGAGCGCGACAGTTCCTGGTGAAGGTTGCCGCTGTTCCACGCTCAGCCGGCCTACTCAAGTTCTGGCCCAAGACGTGTTCACAGAAAGAGGTGAGACCTTAGCTCGACATCACGGTCAGTAGAGCGAGCACGACAGTTCCTGGTGAGGATTGCCGCTATTCCACGCTCAGCCGGCCTACTCAAGTTCTGGCCCAAGACGTGTTCACAGAAAGAGGTGAGACTTAGCTCGACAGTCACGGTCACAGCGAGCACCACAGTTCCTGAAGGTCCTGCTGCCACTGCACAAGGTGAAGTGCCTGTCGCTGTACCACGCGCAGCTGGCCTACTGCGTGGTGCAGTTCCTGGAGAAGGACGCCACGCTCACCGAGCCCGTGGTGCGCGGCCTGCTCAAGTTCTGGCCCAAGACGTGTTCACAGAAAGAGGTGAGACTTAGCTCGACATCACGGTCACTAGAACGAGCGCGACAGTTCCTGGTGAAGGTTGCCGCTGTTCCACGCTCAGCCGGCCTACTCAAGTTCTGGCCCAAGACGTGTTCACAGAAAGAGGTGAGACCTAGCTCGACATCACGGTCAGTAGAGCGAGCGCGACAGTTCCTGGTGAAGGTTGCCGCTGTTCCACGCTCAGCCGGCCTACTCAAGTTCTGGCCCAAGACGTGTTCACAGAAAGAGGTGAGACCTTAGCTCGACATCACTGTCAGTAGAGCGAGCACCACAGTTCCTGAAGGTCCTGCTGCCACTGCACAAGGTGAAGTGCCTGTCGCTGTCCCACGCGCAGCTGGGCCTACTGAGGTGGGATACACTTTTTTTTGGGTAGGCCTCCTACAGGTGGACCAACGATCTGGTAAAGGTTGCGGGAAGAGCCTGGATGCGGGCAGCGCAGGACCGTTCATTGTGGAAAACCTTGGAGGAGGCCTTTGTCCAGCAGTGAACGAACGAACGCTTTTTAATTTTGCTTTTGTGAACTAAAAATTGCCAAAATTAATGATTTCCTAACTTAATGGATGTGGGCGGGGCACATAGCTCTTAGAACTGATAGCTGTTGGGGCAGAATAGTTCTCGAATGGTGACTAGTGACCGGCTTGCCACTCGGTGGACCAACGAGCCAGTGAAGGACGCGGCAAACACTTGGATGCGGGTAGCACAGGACCGGTCGTTGTCAAAATTGGTGAGGAGGAGGAGGCCTTTGTCCAGCAGTGAATGGAACCTATTTGACGACAATACTAGTAGCAGTAGCAATACTTTTGGTGTGCAGCATCAATCATTGGGCAGTTGACAACATTAACCAATAAAATATAAAAAAAAATCCCAATTAGTTCTCTTTAAAAATAAACCTAATGTTGACTAGTATCGGACTAGCATTGACAATCAATGACTACCTTTTTGTTTTTTACCATTGACATTTCATTACGAACCACTCTGTGACGAGGATTGTCTGTAATTTATAGAAGAGCGCAATCTAAATATACACAAGCGCGTTACAAATATTTCTCTTTCACGGGTCTCTGCTATATTCGGACAGCGTTGTCCTGAACTAATCCCCTGGCCTTTTAGTATAGCGCGTGCGCACTAATAAGTTGTCATACAGAAGCGCACTCAATCCTGGCGAATCTGTATCGTAGTTTTGTTATGACATCCATCTCTTCTTTCAATGTTCATATAGCGTTGTCCTGCTCTCACATCGATAGCCTTCCGCGGGCGTTAGAGCTCATTAACACCATAACAATATGATACGACACCGACATTAATTTATTTAGTCCTCGGTTCTCTCTAATCTTCTATCGTATGGGCTGATCCAACCTTGACTTTTTAAGCTGGTAGGCGTATATGGCTTGGTACATACATACAATATCTTAACTTGATTCTTATTGGATAATATTTTTAACTTGGAAGACGGGACTAATTGTTTTTGGTGAGTTTAAACCTTGAAATGGGTGGGAATCACCATGAAGAAATTTGCCTACTACGAATAATTGAGAATTAAACCACCCTGTAGGTCGGGAGTTAATTCTCAGACCACAGAGGTGTCTAGACAGGATATTAGAGATTACCGCGATAACCGACGGCGTTAGGAAGTCATTGATCATCTATTGTGTCTGCAAATACCCATGTCGAAGTGAATAGTATTCTGATTCCCATAAATCGTTATTTCGTTTCGCTCCCAAATCAATGTGTACATTTAGTACAGACAGGGTTACCATTTTTATGGCACAGTTTAGAAAACTATTAATAAAGGAAAATAAATTGATTTAATGTTTGTAAATCTAAACTGACGTCACTTCTACGTTCTTTATACATTACTCGGTATAAAATAGTAAGTAACCATAAATTAATTTGAATTCCAGGTGATGTTCCTGGGCGAGATTGAAGAGATACTGGACGTGATTGAGCCTGCGCAGTTCGCCAAAATCCAGGAACCTTTATTCAGACAAATAGCTAAATGTGTCTCCAGTCCGCATTTTCAGGTAAGACTTAAATATCTGTAACAAAAAACTGTATCTATAAAGGTTTTCTTCTATTAAGAATGTATACACATTTCATTGTACCCAATTGCCAGTGTTTGGAAGAAGCAGCTAATTAATTCAGCCACATTCATTAACAGCAAACTTTAATTCAGTAATTAAATGTGTTGATGGGTTGCATGTTACTTTATGATAAATTATTAGATGATGACATGTTTTTTCTATTACAGGTGGCAGAAAGAGCATTGTACTTTTGGAACAACGAATACATAATGTCTTTGATGGAAGAAAACAACCACGTTATAATGCCGATAATGTTCCCGGCTCTGTACCGAATCAGCAAGGAGCACTGGAACCAGACCATCATCGCGCTCGTGTATAATGTCCTGAAAACATTCATGGAGATGAACTCGAAACTATTCGATGAGCTCACTGCTAGCTATAAAGCAGAACGGCAGAAGTGAGTAGACTACTTTTTCTTAATCATCATCATCATCATTTCAGCCACAGGATGTCCACTGCTGAACATAGGCCTCCCCCAATGACTTCCCCATCGCTCTTTGACATGTCGATCCATCTGTAGACGTCCCACCTACGCTGCCTCCACCACAGAACCTTGCTGCCCCATCGGCCGTCAGTTCTGCGTACCCATCGCCACTTCAGCTTCCTAAACCGTTGGGTTATGTCAACGAATTTAGTTCGTTTACGGATCTCCTCATCTCTGATTCGATCTCGTAAAGAAACACTGACCATAGCCCTTTCCATAGCATTCTGTGCAACTTCGAGCTTTTTTATGAGGCCTATAGTTAGAGGCCACGTTTCGGAGCCATATGACACTGATTAAAGACTTTAGAAGGCATGGAGGTATTTTGGACGAAAAGATATTGTCTAAGTAAATCTAGGTACACCACACCTGCAATTGTGTGAAAATAACAACCCATAATGCTTCACATTAGTTGCTAGTATGATTCTTATAGACTGATATAATCATATGAGGCAATGGCGACATCACGATTTACACACCCACCCTATTGATGGTTTATTTGAAGCATTACCGATACTTGTTTGAATTTCCAATATTGCAATGACTACTATACCTACTTACAAAGAGGACCACTGAGTTGAGTCAACTTTCTAAAATAAACACTAGAATGGAGGAGATAAAGATAAAGATAAAGATAAAGATACATTTATTTGTTCAAACATGTGTACATAAGGTGTTAAGTCAGCATTCAAAATGGCATCAACATGTCGTACCTTTGCGGTGTACAAATTAAATTAAAAATAAAATATCAATTACAATAATACTGCATAATCAAATCAAATTAAAGTTAAAAGTCAATGTTGCATAATCAGATTAAATGAAAAAAATAATAATATTAAGAAGTAAATCAAAATTTGTCACTTAGGAAGTCCGTCAGATTATAATAACATTTTTCAATTAATAAATTTTTAACCTTCATTTTAAATTCATACAATTCTAATTTTTTTATTGTTAAGGGGATGTTATTGTAAATTCTAGGTGCCATACATAATATACTTTTACTCATAAGAGCTGAATTTGAGGGGGGCATCCGTAGTCTTGANAAATTTACATCTCTGCTGGATTCTAAAAAATCAAGGTATATATCGACATATTAACGACAGACATCGCAAACGCGCACGTATACTAATATTTATTATTTTTTATATGTTCCTTCCTTAAGTTCCTTGAGAGAAGTTTACTTCCAAGTTTGCAACCAAATTCAACCAATGTGCTACTACCATTTGAGCATTTTGTCACTTATTGCTCTAATTCCCGCAAACTATGCATTTTTGGACAGTGATTCATTAGAAAGTCCATTCAAATTGCTACACTCTAAGCCCAACCGCAGCTTTAACACCTTTTGGGGACCAATCAATGGGCCTTCTGAAAATGATACATTTTTACCGAAAATTTTCAACTTTCGGTTTCGCTGCTGCTTGGATCAAGATTTTTTTATGCATTACAAGGTAGGAATTTGACCGCAATCGCACATGGTGTTAAGTGAGATGCAGTCTAAGATCGTACATAATATCTGCCCTGTAAGTGCCTTTTCACTATCGCCTTGAAAAGCCCCGTGTTCAGGAAAGCCAGCAGCAGGCAGCGAATTCCAGATATTGTCAAAATCGCTCATCCTTTGGGATCATAACTACTGTCCGGCTCACGCCTCCAATCCAAGTAGCCGTCAACTTAGTTCCCAGAAATTGCGCTTAGGATGAAATTCCACAATTTCTAGCCGGAAACTGAGGTGTTACAAACTTCTGGAAGTTAAAAGCTTCTCTACAACTTGTCGTAAACTTGAATTAACTTTCAAGTTAGTAATACGTTTTGGTAAGAAGGAATTACCTAGTTATTATTAGCTCTAGTTAAATATTATTATGGATGAAAAATTGGGGGGTCGTGTTTATAAATATATTCATGTAACTCGTAGATTTCTGGGTAATCGACTGGTAATATTGATTCAGTAAGAGTAGGCGCACACCGTTGATTTTTAGTTGGCCGATAGTTATGCCCGATTTCAAATTGTATGAAGAATCGGCCAAATCGAATCGGCGTAGTGTGCGCACTCCCATACATGCCCATACTGATCAACAGCCCGACTAAACTATCGGCCGACGAAAAATCAACGGTGTGCGCCTACTCTAAATCAACTTTTAGTCATTACTGTCGTTTAGTATTAACGTTTAGACTGAGTTGCACCAACTAACTTAAACGGCAAATATAATGATAACCGGTGTATTTTGTATGGAGTTTGACAGATTTTTGACATTTGTTAGGTAAAGTCAAAGTAAGATGGTGCAACCCAGCCTTAGTTTGGTAATGGCATTTTAAACTACTGTTCAATACGTGAGTATTCAGTTTTCCAGTATTCCGCAAAACTGGACTGTTTTGTAAACATTGTTGTATGTTTGAAATACGAATTCCAAATTCTAATTCTAATCTGTTTTTGGCGAGACCCTGCAAACGTGGTGTTCGTATGAAAGTTTTAATATTGAAACACGTATACCTACTGCTAAACGGAATCCTGCAAAAAACGAGAAATAGAGACTTTATGGATAGATATAGTATAAAACAGGGATGTTATGGATTTCCGTAACCGTAACCGAAACTTTCGGATTTTTTTTTTTTTATGCTAGCCAAGGCAGGTATTTGACCGCAATCGCACCTGGTGTTAAGTGAGATGCAGTCTAGGATGGTACATATCTGCCCTGTAAGTGCCTATTCACTCTCGCCTTGAAAACGCCCGGATTATAGTGTTCAGGAAATACAGCAGCAGGCAGCGAATTCCAGTCCCTAGCTGTTCGCATTATAAAGGAGTCGTCGAAACGCTTAGTGCGAGCTGGTGGAATGTCGACAATGTAGGGATGGTACGCTAGCCTGCGTCTGGTTCCCCGGTGATGGAAAGGGGCTGGTGGAATTAAATTATATAATTCCTTCGCACATTCTCCGAAGTGTAGCCTGTAGAAAACCGTTAGAGAAGCAACTTTACGGCGGTGGTCAAGTTCCTGGAGCGACGCTTCAACAAGGGTCGGGCTGTCGATTAGTCTCCTGGCACGCCTTTCCACCGAATCCAAAGCAGCCAAATATTTCTTGGCAGAGCCGTCCCAGAGGTGGCAGCAGTATTCCATGCAAGGTCGGATCTGTGCTTTATATAACTGCAGCCTTTGCTTATTGGAGAAGTACTGCCTTGCCCTCGAGAGGATACCAAGTTTTTTGGCAGCAGTTTTCGCTATGGATTCGATGTACTCGCCAAAGTTCAACTTGCTGGACATTTCGATACCCAAAAGTTGGAGTCGCTCGGTGATTTTAACAGGCACACCTCGGAATGTTGGAGCCAGACGAAATGGACTTCGTTTGGCGGAGAACAGACACGCCTGTGTTTTGGACGCGTTAAATTGGACCAGATTGGCATCGCCCCAATCAGAGACATCCTGAAGGGCCAAATTTAAGCGTTCGATAAGGGACNTTTTTTTAATCAATTTTTTTAAATACTCATAATCAATATTTTCAAAAATGTCTTATGTCAAATTATATAACAGATACCAGTGATGAAGTATGCTTAATTTGAAAGTTGTAGCTGATAAAATAAAGATTTTAGAGCCAATTATGTAAAAAACCGCGATCCGCCGATTGGTTTTTTGGCTTTTCCCAAAAAACTGAATTTTGGAGTTGTGCCCATTCATTATTAAGGGTGCGATTTATCTATATTGTATTGCACAAATTATTAATTGCTTAGCTAAGCTAAATGTGATTATGTTAGTAGTAGATTCATCAAAATAGTCCAGCGGCGGCGGCGGGGTTCGAACCAGTGGCAGTGTTCTTGGGATCTTGAGTTGGCCATTCCGCCACCGATATCGTTGGGCTATTTTGTCGCCTCATCTTTTTTAATTGTTAATATACATTTCGGTTGGCTAGAAAGTTTCGTTTCCTTGGCAATTCTTCTAGCGTAATATATTTATCACCAGGGTTTAAGAAATTAATTATTAATATTTCATGATGTGTCTTTATAACAAGCAAAGAATCGACTTGCACAACTCATGCGATCTTTATCCACGCAAATGTTTGTTTGATTTCACACTGAAGACACCAAAAATAATTATTGCAATTTTGTACACCCTGTATAGATAAAGATTACTTTGATAGATCCATCGACCTTCGCTGATTCACTTTCGATGTACAGTTAAGAGCAAAAGTTGGTAGTTCTTTTTCTGCTTGAAAAAGTTATGAGGATAGATTTTGATTCTGACTTTGTTCATTCGATCTAAGTCCCATGAGGAATTGGTACGAATTTACGAATTCGTAATTTCACATATAAGATTAGATTTTTCTATCGTGGGAATTTTTTTTATGTATTGAAAATCTCTCGTACCTAAGGAAAAAATCGAAAAACTTAAAGCTTTCTTGATACTGATCAAAGAGTAAAGTAGCTTTTTTTCTTTAAATACTCAAGATTTATTTTATTGAGTACATAAGTACGCAGTAGTCGTTTCAGCCAAATGACGTCCACTTCTGGACAAAGACCACAATATCTGGAAAAAATGCTTCATTTCAGTAATAATATTGTAAATAATAAGTTGAAGTTTCAGCTGAAACTGAGACCGATGATGCCAAAGATTGGGTTGCAGCACCTTTACGTAGGCCCGATTCGACCAAACTTTAATCCGAGAATAACTCCTGGTATAACTGGCACATTGACAGTTTCAGTATCTTACTAGTCTTACTAATATTATAAATGCCAAAGTTTGTATGGATGTCTGGATTTTTACTCTTTCACGCAAAAAGTACTGAACGGATTTTGATGAAACTTTACAGTATTATTGTTTATAACCCAGAATAACATATAGGCTATTTATTTATGACGATCTGTGACAAACTAAATTTCACACGGGTGAAGCCGCGGGCAATAGCTAGTGGGAAATTGACAAAACTGACGATTTATTCTGAGATTAATATTTACTCTTGTT